CACACCCTGACATCGGGGTCCTGGATGTCCCCAAGCACCAGGGACCCGGGAGGCCGGGGAAGGTGGCTAGAACCGCAGGTCCCACCCCGGCTCTGAGCCCGGAGCCCACCGTGCCCACTACTCAATCCCCGTGTCCAGCGTGCGTGCATCTGCACAGGGCGCTCGCGCCAGTGCTGACGGGTGCTGCCCTCACAGAGGCAGGCCCATCACACACAGGCCAGGGGCACCCAAGGGGCCAGGCCCGGTGCCCCTTCGCAGGGCCTCCCCAGGTGCAGCGCTGCGGCTGGCTTCAGGCCTCTGCTCTGTCCGCCTCCTCCCCAGGTGAGCGGGGTGCAACCCTGTCTGGGGGCCAGAAGCAGCGCCTGGCCATCGCCCGCGCCCTCATCAAACAGCCAGCAGTGCTGATCCTGGACGAGGCGACCAGCGCCCTGGACTCCGAGTCTGAGCGGGTCGTGCAGGAGGCCCTGGACCGAGCCAGCACTGGCCGCACCGTGCTGGTCATCGCCCACCGGCTCAGCACCGTGCGGGGGGCCCACCACATCGTCGTCATGGCCCAGGGCCGAGTCTGTGAGGTCAGTGGGGGCCCAGGGCGGTGGGTGGGTGAGCTGGGACAGCTTGAGCCATAGACACAGTGGAATGGTGGCTCAGCTGAGCTGCGTGAGGGCCTGGCCTGGCCCTGGGGGCTTGGGACCGGCTTCTACAAGCAGCACCCTATGTGGATTCGGACGCGCCTGCCTTAGGTAGGCCCAGTGTCTCCCTCTGTCCCCGGGGCGCAGCTCCCAGGCTCACAGGGAAGTGCAGCATGACCCTGACCAGGGCCCAGCCGGTACCAGCACCGGAGGCAGGTGTGGGGCCCATTCAAGCAAAAGCTGCAGGGCCCTCGAGGACACTGGCCTGCGCTGGGTCTGCGGGCTCTCGGCCTGGAGGAAGCGGGGAGGCGGTGCTCACAGTGCAGTGCGTCTGGCTGCTCTGGTCTCGCAGCCCCGGAAGCCTGTAGGGGGCAGCGCCCGGCTGCTGGCACGAAGCCCACCCTGCTGGGAACTGCATGGTGACCATCGGCCCCTCCCTCCTCCAGGCGGGGACCCATGAAGAGCTCCTGAAGAAAGGCGGGCTCTACTCCGAGCTCATCAGGAGACAGGCCCTGGATGCCCCGCCCCCTGAGGCCCCCAGAGGCCCCAGGAACCGCCACCCCAAGTCCTGAGAGCAGCCCGCTGCAGTCTGGTCACTGCCAAGCATCAGTGCCCAGGGCTGAGGACAGCCCCCAGAGGGCCAATGTGACGGGCTGTGGGCTGCCCCCAGCTCACAGTAAAACTGAGGACCAGCCCTGGGCTGGGAGGAGGTTGGGACTGCCTCCATCCACGCCCCCCCACACCCCCCAGGCTGCCTCCCTCCTGCACAGGGAGGAGGCAGAGTCCGGGCCCTGCTCTGTGTCCTTCCTTTGCCCAGACCCTACCCACCCCTCTCAGAAACTCCGCCAGCCTCTCCCCTACCTGACACCTAAAGGTGTTGGGGCCTCAGCTCTAAGGAGACTCGTTCAGGGTCAGGGAGTAGAAGCAGTTCACAGCGGGGTTCTCTCCCACACCCAGGCCAGACCTCACTTCCTGGCTGACCCCACACGCCTCTGTCCCCACTGCCTCTCTGGGCCCTGGGAGAAGGAGCACTCCCCCTTGGGCCAAGCCCTCTAGCCCACAGTCCATTCTCAGAACAGTTTCTTTTCCTTACACAGTGCTTATTAGATCTCACCCTCCCCCATCCAAACAGGACAGATGCCCAGGCCCTGGGGAGGGGAGCAGGGGCGGGTACTCTCTGTCCCACCCGGCTCTCACCCTGTCCTAGCCACACCTTGAGTCTGTCACCTGGTGACTGTAGACACCCCTCTACCTGACATCAGCTTTAAAAGGGCAGAGCCGACACACCCCAATCGGGGCACGGAGCACTGGCAGTCACCAGACCATGAGGGAGGGTAATGCTGAGCCCCTGGGCTGACGAAATACAGGCGCAGTCCAAGGAGGAGCTGTGGCTGCCAGACCAGAGGACGGGACTGGAGCCCCGCTTTGAAACAGGACTGGCCAACTGCCCACCAGCATGAGCCGTGGCCCCAGAGCTGCAAGCGAGGGCCTAGGAGCACGCACGCTTCCCCACCAGCCCCGGCGGGCGCCCCCGCCTCAGTTCCGTCCTGTCACCTCCCACCGGGCAGCCGGCTCGCCACAGCCATGCCAGCCTGTGGTCCTCCCTGAGGCTCACTCCCTGGGTGGGAAGAGGAATTGCCTGGGCCAGACCTCCAAGGCCGACCAAGCATTTTGGGTTCGCCCTGTGGTGCAGAGGGTGAGGCGGTGGTCGGGGCAGCAGCTGCAGGAGGGGCAGTGGTCCCAGCTGGGGGCCGGCCTGCAGAGGCAGCGAGCCCGGTGAGCGCCACCCCCTGTTCCAGGTGTGCCTAGGGCCAGGACGCACCCAGAGTATCCCAGGCCACAGCCGCCCCGCTTCCTGGCTGCCAGGTGAGAGGTCCCAGTGTGGCCTCGGCCGAGCAGAGCCCGGCTGGCTCCGTCCGCGCTGGCCTGCCCGGCCCCTCCCTCAGGAGAGCCAGCAGGGCCAGTTCCAGCTCCCTGAGCCTCCTGCCTGGAGCCTGGCACCAGATTCCAGGTCTCTCCTTACCCCTTTAGGGTGGCCCCTCCCCCAGCTAAACTAGGGGAGCAGTGAGGCCCAGAGTGCGCCTGCAGCTGGAAGGCCACGGGGTTGGCACTGTCGCCTGAACCTCGACTTTGGCTCTTTGGCTTCAACATGGATCCTGAGCCTGGCCGTGCTTAATCCCGAGCGTTTAATTGGTTAAGTACTTAAACTCACAGGGCTGCCGCCCCCAAAGGTAGTCACATCTGGGCAATAAACCATGTTATAATAAACCACTCACTCTGTCCGCAATGTGTTCATGAAGCGCCCATCATGTCCTGCGCCGTGATGGGGTCACGTCCCTGCCCCGTGAAGCCTGCAGTCTCGTCAGGACAGACAGTGGACAGGCTGCAGCCTGCGCACAGCCAAGAGCCCACCAACACGAACCCAGCGGCCTCCAATGCTCGGAAAGAGATGGAGTAGAAGCGGGTCAGTGAGTCAGTGGAGACAGGCAGTGCATCTCCCCACTTCCCTTACCCGGGCAGGGGTGGGCGGTGAGCTTGAGAAGGGGACCAGGCCCGGGCGCTGTCCTCCACGGGCCTGTCGGCTGGCTCCTGTGGCCCTCAGCCACCCAGCTCTCCTGCTGCTGTTACTTGTCCCTGCCCCTTGGGTCCCCACGACGCCCTCGCCCCTCTCAGGCCAGCTGGCAGTGATGTCACAGGCCATGCTCTGCTTCCTGGAGGCGTCCGCTGCAGCTGCTGGGAGAGCCCCCCCCGCCCCTCGGCTCTGGCTCCTCTGAGGCTTCTTCAGTCAGTGTGCCAGCACCGCGGCCCAGGCACCCCAGCCGACTCGGGGCACCTGTCTCCCTCTAGGAAAGCCCACACAGCCCTGGTCAGTTTGGCCCGGCGGTTCGAGCATCAGCCCGCAGACCAGAGAGACCCGGGGTCGGTTCCCGCTAAGGGCATGTACCTCAGTTGCAGTTTGTCCCGCCCCAGTTAGGGTCGGGTGGGTGGCAACCAGTTGATGTGTCTCACATCGATGTTTCTCTCTCTTCCTCCCTCCCTCCCACTCGCTCTATCTGAAGATAAATGCACAAATGTCCTCGAGTGAGGATTTTTAAAAAAAGCCCACGCAAAACAGGCCCACTCCTGTTATGCTGGGAGCATGACACAAACCCCTACGGCCGGGAATTCGGTGGCATCGAGGGACCCGCGCAGCTGCTGCTTGACCCAGCGGTTGTGCGGAGTCACTGAGAGCGCCACTGTGTCCTGGGAGACCGGGAACCCCCGAGTGCTTCAGGCACAGGGTGACATCAACAGGGTGTGTCCACACAGCGAAAGGGTTTGCAGCCATTGAAAAATGGGGACGTTTTCCTGGTACTGGTATCGCATGGCCCCCAGAATATGTTAAGTGAAAAAAAGATGTGGACTGGCTCCTGTGCCCCTCAGCCGCCCGGCCCTCCTGCTGCTGTTACTTGTCCCCTGCTCCTTGGGTCCCTGAGCTGAACTATGTTACCTGGGAGCGTGGCAGGTGAGCCCCCATTCACGGTGATAGAGGGCAACCTCCCAGACAGGAGGGCTTGAGTGGGTGCAGGGGGAATAGGGCCACTGGAGAGGCAGACCCCCAGGACGTGGGGCCTGCAGAGGCCCGGGCCATCCGGTGTAGGCTGGCACACTGGGGGCTCAGAAGGAGGAGACAGCCCTACACGCCCCACCACCTTCCAGCCTGGTCAAGAGCCAACTCTGCTCTTTGCAAAATGACCCCAAGATGAAGTTAGAAGGAGGGGAGGAGACAGGAGGGAGGAGCCAGGCCAAGGGCCAGTGACTGATTCTCAGCCCCACATACAGGGGCTGCAGCTGGGAGACTAGAGGCCCCAAGGGCACCCCCAGCCCTGACTGTCTCTGGGCTCCCCTCAAGCCCAACTAGGGTTGCTGTGGTTTCCTGCTGGCGCCTCTGCCCCCCCCCCCATGATGCACTAATGGCTCAGCCTGGGGCCCCAGGGACCTCCCCACCCCCAGGCTGCTTTGCCAGCCCCCTGGCCCCCTCACTGCTGAAACCCAATCCTCTGCGGCAGCCCTGGCTCAGCAGAGCAGCAGACCAGCCTGCCTGCCACGCAGGCTGCGCCCTATCTGCTCCTGCTGCGGAACCCCCAGCCCAGCACCGAGCCCCGTGGAGCCGCAGCCTGTTCCTGCCCAAGGCCAGCTGGACCCTTCAGGTCACTGCATCCAACCCAGCCAGGCCAGTGCCTCCCCACCTCCCTCTTGGGTTTGGCTCTTTTCCTTGCCTCACACCTGCACTCTCTCCTGCCTGGCCAGCCCCTCCCAGTCCTCAGACTGACCCTCTCCTTCTAAGCCTCTGTAGCCTGCCCTCTCTGTACCCTCACCCTAGAGCAGGCCATGAAGCCCCCCTCAGGGCCAGAGGAGGCCCGGCGGCAGGCCTCGGACATCAGCGTGTTCGCCAGCAGCTGCACGCTGCACGGGCTGGGCCACGTCTTTGGCCCAGGCAGCCTGACCCCACGCCGGGGGCTGTGGGCCGTGGCCATGCTCCTGTCCATGGCTGCCTTCCTCTACCAGGTGGCAGAGAGGGTGCGCTACTACGGGGAGTTCCACCATGAGACAGCTCTGGACGAGCGCGAAAGCCCCCAGCTCACCTTCCCGGCCATCACCCTGTGCAACATCAACCCGCTGCGCCGCTCACGCCTCACGCCCAACGACCTGCACTGGGCCGGGCCCTCACTGCTGGGCCTGGAGCCCTCAGAGCACGCAGCCTTCCTGCGCGCCCTGGGCCAGCCCCCCACACCACCCGGCTTCATGCCCAGTCCCACCTTCGACATGGCCCGGCTCTATGCCCGGGCTGGGCACACGCTGGAGGACATGCTGCTAGACTGTCGCTACCGCGGTCAACCATGCGGACCCGAGAACTTCACTGTGGTGAGCTGGCCACCCACCCTGTCCTATCAGAGACCCAGGAGAGCCTGCCAGTCCCTGCCCAGGACGTGTCATCCCAGCCTTGGCATCCCAGGCTCCCCCAAAGCCAGGAACCTTAACACCCATGCCCTGGGACCCTTTCCTTCCCAGCCAGGCCGCGGGCTCCCACCCCACCTTTCTGTTCAGGAGGCTGTCCTCCGTGGGTCTGCTCTGGATTAGACTGTGCAAGGTCACATCTTCCAGCTCGGGGCACTCACCCAGGCTGGCTCCAGACTCAGGTCTACGGAGACCCTGGCCCTGGGGGTGGGGGACACAAGTGGGACCGTTCCAGGGCAGAAGACCCTGCCCTGCTGAGGGAGGGGCTGGTTTCCCTCTGCCTCTTTAACATTCTGCCAGTCCTGGAAAAGGCTCTGAGAAGGAGAGGAGATGCTGGGAGGGACCTGAAGCCTGTCCTTCATGAGAAGGAAGCAGCGGGCAGGGGCGGGGGTTGGCCTATCAGCCCTGGGGAGAGGGCGCTGCATGGAGGGCCTCCTGGAACCCAGGCCTCAGGTCCCCCTCCCCCCACAGAAGAAACCCCATTTGAGGTGGGGGTCCGAGTGCCCAGTCTCCAAAGAAACACTTGCCCTGTGGGCTGAGCCCTTGGCTGGGCATAGAGGGTGAGGAGAAGGTGAAGTGATGGGAGCCCTTGAGGGTCCAACGACGTGCACCTGTATGAGGGAGGGGCTGGGGACATGGAGATGGGGGCCTCAGTGTTCAGAGAGATCCAAATAGAGGGTGGGGAGGAGAGAGGTCCCGGAGCCCTGTGTGTGCCTGGCTGGGCCTCTTGTTCCCTGGCGAGGTCTGCACCCATCTGCCGACCCGCAGATCTTCACCCGGATGGGCCAGTGCTACACCTTCAACTCTGGGGCGGATGGGGCCGAGCTTCTCACCACCCCCAAGGGCGGCACGGGCAACGGGCTGGAGGTCATGTTGGACGTTCAGCAGGATGAGTATCTGCCCGTGTGGAAGGACACGGGTATGGGGGCATGTGGGAGGCTGGGGTGGGCACGGTTGGGGTGCAAAAGGCTCTGAGAAGGAGAGGAGATGCTGGGAGGGACCTGAAGCCTGTCCTTCATGAGAAGGAAGCAGCGGGCGGGGGCGGGGGTTGGCCTATCAGCCCTGGGGAGAGGGCGCTGCATGGAGGGCCTCCTGGAACCCAGGCCTCAGGTCCCCCTCCCCCCACAGAAGAAACCCCATTTGAGGTGGGGGTCCGAGTGCAGATCCACTCCCAGGAGGAGCCACCCATCATCGACCAGCTGGGCTTTGGGGCGGCCCCCGGCTACCAGATTTTTGTGTCTTGCCAGCAGCAGCAAGTATCCTCACCTGGGCCTCCAGTCCCCCTCCCCCCACCGAGGCTCCCAACCCCCTCCTTCATTCAGCACACACCACCTCAGACCCCAACCCCGCAGCTCCTCAGGCCTGTCCCGGGGGCCTCTGCCCCCCAGCGACTTCTCATATTCTCCCCAAGCCTCCTTAACCAGTCCCTCTACAGCTGAGCTTCCTGCCACCACCCTGGGGCGACTGCAGCTCAGCATCTCTAGACCCTGACTTTGAGCCGGAACCCTCTGGTCCCCTGGGTCCCCCCAGCCCCAGCCCAAGCCCCAGCCCTCCCTATAGTCTAATGGGGTGTCGCCTGGCTTGCGAGACCCGCTATGTGGCTCGGAAGTGCGGCTGCCGAATGATGCACATGCCTGGTAAGGAGGAGGGGTCCGGTGGGAGGGGCCGGGGCCTGGGAGGAGCCCCGAAGCTGTCACACACGCTCCCCACCCGGCCCCCAGGTGGCGCACCGGTGTGCACCCCCCAGCAGTACAAGGACTGCGCCAACCCGACGCTGGGTAAGGGGCAAGTGTCCCGCATCCCGTCCCCACCCTGCTCACCCCGGGACCCCCGCTTCGGGGTGGGCTCCCTTGACCCGAGCACTGCGGCCCGCAGACGCCATGCTGCGGAAGGACGCTTGCGTCTGCCCCAACCCGTGCGCCATCACCCGCTACGCCAAGGAGCTCTCCATGGTGCGGATGCCCAGCCGCGCCTCTGCCCGCTACCTGGCCCGGAAGTACAACCGCAGCGAGGCCTACCTCGGGTGAGCCCACCGGCGGGGCGGGGGCGGGGCCCGGGAGCAGGGCCCTCCTCCAGGCCAGGCCTGCCCGCGCCTGTGCCGGCAGGACCCCAGCCTGCGTGTCAGGACGGCGCTCTGGACTCTGGACAAGCGGCCTAACATTTCTGCTGCTGCCCTTCTGCAAAAGGGGGCGGTGATGCCCCTCTAGGGCTCTGGAAAGGATCAGAGACAGGAGTGCACACCTGTTTCCTAGCACTAGCGGGTGTCCAGGGAGCACCCCGCCTCTTTTCCTCCAGGGAGAACGTGCTGGTGCTGGACATCTTCTTCGAGGCCCTCAACTACGAGACGGTGGAGCAGAAGAAGGCTTACGAGGTGTCGGAGCTGCTTGGTGGGTGCGCGCGCGTGTGCAGAATGGCCCAGGGGTTGGGGAGGTGTGGACACAGCAGGTGGCTGTGAGCTGACCAGTGATCCCGTCTCCGCAGGCGACATTGGGGGCCAGATGGGGCTGTTCATCGGGGCCAGCCTTCTCACCATCCTTGAGATCCTGGACTACCTCTGTGAGGTGGGCTTGGGGCCCCAGCGGGGGCGCGGGGAGAGCAAGTCGTGGGACCCCGGGGAAAGGTGCGCGCTGGCCACCTCCCTCACTGCTTGCCCCCAGGTGTTCCTAGACAGGGTCCTGGGATACTTCTGGAAACGGAAGCGCTCCCAAAGGCACTCCAGCACCAACCTGGTAACAGCCCCTCGCCCTCCCCTGCCATCTGCCCCTGAAGCCTGGAACACCATCTCTTCCCAGCTGGGAAAAAATAGTGGCAGGGAGGGGCACGCAGTGACCTTGGAGAGTCCCTGGTGGGAGGACCCCTCCCCTCCTGACCCTCTCCCTCCTCCCACAGCTTCAGGAAGGGCTGGGCAGCCATGGAAACCAAGTGCCCCACCTCAGCGTAGGCCCCAGGTAACACAGAATGTCCCCCTAAGGTCAAGGGAGGCGGGGCAGGTCTGGTCCAGAGGGTGAAGTTCAGGTCCAGGAAGGCAGGAGCAGGGCATTGGTTCAAGGTCTTCTGTCCCAGCAACGTGGTCTGTGTCTCAGCAGGCCTCCCACCCCTCCCTGTGCCGTCACCAGGACTCTCTCCGCCTCCCATCGCACCTGCTACCTCGTCACACGGCTCTAGACCTGGTGTCTGTCTTCAGGGCTGAACCTTGACATCTTGGACATGCCCTGACTGCACATGGCTTTGCTGTCTTTATCCCAAATAAAGTTCTATGCACCAGCCTGATCTGTTCCTCTTACAGGCAGACTAGACAGGCCAAGTTCAGCCCTACTCAGGCACAAGAAGACCTCTGCCAGCCATCATCTAGAGAACACGGTTCTAAAATGTGGGTGTCTTCCCAATGAACCTCCAGAGGTTTCTCTGGGAGAGAAGAGCAATAAGAGGGCATCCGTCCTTTGCACCTCAGTGGGAATGAGTTTTTCAGTCCGACCTCTCGGAGTAAATGGGGCCCAAAGCCAGGTGTGCAGGCAGAGGGGTCCCTGGCAGGGCAGTCCTGTTTGGGAGACTATAACGGACTGGCTGGGAAAAGACTATGACTCAGAGCCTGGCAAGAAGTGGGGAGCAGGCAGGGAGGAGACAGAGGGTCTTCCCTACTTCCAAGAACATCGAGACAGAGGGTCTTCCCTACTTCCAAGAACATCAACTGTTGTCCTGCCCTTTTCCCACATTTGGGACCAAGCTCCAGCAAGCTGTCTCCACGGGAATAGCTCTTGCTTCCCCAGCCCCCCTACAACAGCAGAGGCCCCAGCCTGAGATGGTGAGGGGGGCCTCCTTTCCCACTTTTGCTGGTAAGGACACACAGAGGATCCAGCCCCAGCCCACTTTCCTGTCCTCTTCTGTACCCCAAATGTTAGAAAACACAGATAAGGGAGCAGGGGGAGGTGTTCCTGGTCTAACCACATCTTTGCGTCTCTCCCGTGCCTGCCTGCTGGCCTACGCATGGGGGGATGGAGGGGGAAGGGTTAGGGTGGGTACCCACGGGATGTGGAGAACCTCAAGGAAACGCCCTGCCCTTTTCTCCTGTTCTGGTGGGAGCTTTCAGACACCGGCTGCCTGATTCCTCTGGACGGTCTCAGCCCCCCTGGGCAGAGAAAGGGGTGTGCACAGGTGCACAAGCACATGTGTGGGTACAGCTCTGCCCTGAGCCCAGCCACAGGGGTGAACATCAGAGAGAGCCTCCAGCCCCCAGCCTCGGGCCGCTTCAGAGCACAGGGGGACAGGACAGCTGGGCGGTATCCCAGGGCTGCACAGGGCGGTGACGTGGAGCAGAGACGCCGCCCAAGCCCACCCTCTCTCAGAGCCACCCGCCACCACATCAGCCAGACTGTGGGAAAGGAGCCGATTTATGAAATTAAATACAGTCTGTGGAGGGAGAGAGAACCAGGTGAGGGCGCCTCCACCCTGGTGGGCCCAGCACCGCTGGAGCGCGGCACACCGCGTGCGTCCTTGCTTTCCCCCCTCTCTGGAGGGGCTGAAGCAGGCCCCAGCCTGGCAGCCAGGGTCTGAGAGTCTAGGGGGGGCAGAAGTCGGAGAAGTAGGGGTGCTGCAGGGCCTCCTCTGCCGAGATGCGCTGGACAGGGTTGCACTTCAGAAGGTTCTGGGGGCATGGAAGGGAAGTGTGGCAGGGTCAGGGTCAGGCGGGCCAGCTGCCTGGAGCCCCGCCCTCCCCGGGCCCCCACCGTGGGTCACCTGCAGCAGGTCCCTGCCGGTGGCATTGAGCTTGGGTACGACGTTCACCAGGGATGTGGTGGCCGGGTACATTGGGTAGGGCTGTGGGGGGCGGAGAGTCAGACCAGGGCTGTGGGGCATGGGACTAGGGCTGAGAAATAAAGAGGGACCGCTGACGAACCATGAACCCCCACCCGTCACACCTTATAGTCTGGCAGCTTGGTCATGGCAGGCCACTGCTCCTCGGTCGGTGTCCCCAGCAGTGTGTCCAGGGAGTCAAGGATCACTCAGTGCAAAGGGGCAGGGTAAGAAGCTCTTCTCCCAGGAAGGGGTCCTCACATTCACCTCTGCCCTCCTCACTTTATCCCCCAGCTCACGACAGCAGCGGCCCCGGCACATGCGATTCTCGTTTTCAGTCCCCTCTGTGTGGTGTTTCCCCTGGGCCAGGTGCTACAGATACACACACTAACCGCTGTGACCTGAACCCTGACGTCTGTGGCCCCAAGGGTCGGTCAGCCTTCCCTGACTCCCGCAGATCCCCCTGCTGGTCCTTGAGTCACCTCGCAGCTGGAGGAGCATCTGCTTAGCATCTTCCCCCAGGGGTCCCTCCTTGTCCACATGTCACACTCGCCCCAGCTGGCTGCATGCAGCTGCCCTATGACAACCAGGGGTGTCCACCACCCTCTGCCCTCTGTCCCCTGACCCTCAGAAGCCCACAGCCCCTCCCACGCTGGCCCAGCCCACCGCCACCCTCAACCCCTGCTCTCTGAGCTCCAAGGCTCATTACTCCCCGTGCAGAGGGCTCGAGGCAAAGAGGGATGGAAGAATATCGGAAGATCCTCTTCAGCTGGTCATCGACATCATTGCCGGGGAAGAGAGGCCGACCTGCATTGGCCAGCTCTGGGAGAATGGGGAAGGGATGAGAGGACCTGACACATGAAGAACTTCTCACTCCCACGACACCCCATTCCCAAGGGCCCTGCTCCTTGCCCCAGAGGGGACCCTCCAAACCCTGTCAGCTCAAAGGGGAAGGAACGTGCCTCTGCAGACCCCCAGCATGTCACCTGCAAAAATGCAGCCGGCGGACCACATGTCAATGGACGTGGAGTACAGCTTGGCCCCAAAGAGGACATCCGGTGGGCGGTACCACAGCGTGACCACCTGGAAAAGACCCCACCCACAGGCACCCCAACACACACACACACTTAGAGGGCTGGGAGGAGGAGGCTCAGAGAGGAGATGTTTTGGGTCCTGAAGCAGGAGCTGAGAGGCTCCCTGGAAAAGCCCTCCCTCTCCCCAGGAACCCACCACCCCCAGCTCACCTCAGCTGAGTAGCAGCGAACAGGGATCCCAAAGGCTCGAGCCAACCCGAAATCAGCCAATTTCAGCTCCCCGTTCTAAGGGAGACGGGACGGACAGCGTCATGGCTAGCTCTGTACCCCCACCGTCCAGCCCGACGTTCTCACCGGTCAGTGTTGGCTCTAGCCGCCCCCGTCTGCCACCTTCTCCCCGAGAGATACCCTGTTTATGAGCAGGTTCTGGGGCTTCAGGTCCCTGTGCAGCACGTTTCGGCTGTGACAAAATCCCAGGCCTTTTAGCAGCTGGAAGAGGAATGACTGGGAGAGGGGCAGGGGAGAGGGCATCAGACCCTCTGCAGAGGAGGCTGTGCCCAGCAATGGCTCACACTCCCTCTGCACCCTCTGCTTTGCTTTGCACCCAGATACCTTTCAGCACCAAGTTCAGCGACACACCGTTCATTTACTATCAAGGACTTACTTTATATTATGCTAGGTATTAGAAGTGAACAGGGAATGGGGGCCTTGGTCTCCACCGTTCTGAAACTTACAGTCTAGTGGGCCTTCCTACCTTACCAGCCCACACTGACCTCCCCCTACCCCGCCTCATTAGAACATGCACATCGTAACTGTTAACATGTACATATATTGTGCTGTACTATTATTCAGCATTTGTTTCCCTTGGAACCTGGGACAAGGCACTTGGTCCTGGGCCGAGAACAGTGCCCAGCGCACAGCAAAGCATTCAGTAAGTGTTTGTTGAATGAACAATGCATCTCTTCGAATCTCATTTTCTCATCTCTCAGGAAATCATAACACTGAGACCAGAGCATTACTGTCAGGCCAAGGAGATCGCGGGAAAATGCTCCCAGAGAGCAGAAACAGGATCCTCTCGGTCCCTGACGCTCAGAGTGTCCCTGTTCAGGGCCTGAACTTGGTGCTCAAGCAGTAGGCACGCTGAACATATACTCCAACCCCAGCCTCCATGGGGCCCCAGAACACCAGTCCCCCTCACCTTCACAGTTTCAGGATCTAGGTCACCATTACAGCTGTCAAAATATTTCTTAAGGTCCTAAAGAGGAATGGGGGTGGGGAAATGGGACAGAGTTTAACCTCAGTCTGGGCCCCTATACCCTCCCAAGGCTATTGTCCCTCAAGTCCCCCTTTCACCTGGTCACAGAACTCAAAAACCAAAGTCAGCTTCTTGTCACTATGCAGGACGTCGTGAAGCCTAAGGAGAGGAAAGGGCTTAGCCAGGCAGGTCCACACGTGTGCTCCTAACACCCCACGATAGCAGCCCCGTCCATCTCCGAAGCCCCCCCCCCCAACCGGCCACCCAGGCAAGGGGGACCCTGCCAGTCTACACACCTGACGATGTTCTTGTGCTTCAGCTCTTTGAGCAGGCAGATTTCCCGAAGGGCAGAACTCGGCACTCCCTGCACGGGGGAGGGGGCCGGGCAGACCACGTCACATCCCACCCAGCCTAGGCCCTCAGCCCCTCCCCTGGCCCAGATGTCCCAGTCCTACCTCATCATCGTCATCCAGCCTCACCCGTTTCAGAGCCACGATCTCATGAGTCTCCCGGTTTTTGGCCTTGAACACTGTTCCGTAGGTGCCTAGAGGAAGGAGGTCAGGGGTGAGGAAAAGGATGGGGCACCCTTCCCCACCCCAAGACGTCCCTGCCTGGGGGTGAGGCATCACAGGCGTGTGTGATTTCTGATGCCCGGAGGAGTAAGGGTGAAGGCCAGGCGTGGCAGACCTTTGTGAGTGCCGACGTGGCAGAGAAGGGGCCTGCAGAGGCTCAGGGGGGTCTGCAGCAGGGAAGAGCGGTGGCTGCCAGGTAGATCTATAATGAAGGCGGTGCTTTGAGAGGGGCCGGAAATAGCGGGGGTGTGGGAGAGGAATGAGGGCTGGCAGGAATGTTGAGGTTGGAGGTCTGCTCCCAGAACTGAGGCTGGGGGTAGGTGGGGTTCTGTAAGTGGTGCAAAGGCTGGAGGTAGAAAATGCAGGAAGTGTTGAGGTCCGGAGGTCGGGCCTACAGGGAGTGCTAAGTTTGGGAGGGGGCGTCTGCAGAAAATGCTAACGGGAGGATTGGTGGCTGCACGGAGTGTTGAGCTCTGGGCCGAGGCTGCAGCCAGGGCTAAGGTCGGAGTCTGTGGGCATTGCTGATGGTAGAGGAGCCAGAGATACAAGGAATGCAGAAGAAGATCTTGCAAGAACATCTCCTGGTCCCATTACCTTCCCCAATCTTCTCCAGTTTCTCGTATTTCTGCATCGCGGCAGCCGCGGGGACCCTCGCGGGCCCTCGGTTCTAATACTCTAGCCCCGGCGATGCAGAGGAGGCGGCACCCCAGCCTCCAGCCCCGCCCCGCCCTCCTGCCTGCGCCTGAGCTTCTGGAGCTTGTAGTCCTAAGAGCCCAGGTTTCCCAGTGATGCCCGAGGACCCAGGCAACAAGCGGACTACAACCCCCAGCAGGCTGCGCTCAGGCTCTCTGCAGCACTCGCTTCCCGGGACTCCGGTTCCACCGCGGTGGCAAGCCCTGGACTTCAAGTCCCAGGAAGCATCACGTGTCCGCTTTCCGGGGGCCCCAGCGTAGCGCCGCGGCTCCCAGTGTGCTCCGCTCTTCGTTCTTTCTGTGACCACCACCTTCTTTTGAAAAAGGCCTCTCCGGGAGCACACATTCCAGGGTGCGGCAGGGGTGGAGTTGAGGCGCTCTCCGAGGTTTGGGGTTTGGTGGCCTACCTCCCGGGCCCAGGTGGCCCGGCTTCGACAGGGTTGATGGTGTGGAGGTCCCCATGACCTCGTGACAATCTCGGCACGGGTTTCCACCCCTCCCCAGGCCACCTGGTGACCCCATGGTTGATGGGGGCATGACTCCGAGCCATCCCTTACTGATAATGACTACGGGACCAGCTGACCGTAAGCGCGGGAGAGAGGTGTGCTCCCTTTGAAACTGGATTTAACGAACGCCAGAGAGCATTCTATTCTCTGGGCCCCGTTTGTCGCCTTGGAGCCCACCCGCCTCACCCTGACATCTGGAGGCAAGCTGGCTGGAGCCCTGAGAGTCGTTCCCCCGCCCCCAACCCCTTGCCAGTCTCCAGAGTCCGCGCCCACGAGAGTTAGCCAGGGTGTGGCCGAGGGCTGGCAGGTCGGTTACCGCCCTCAACAGACAGAAGCAGACAGACGGCTACACTCACAGCAGCCTTGACCTCATCACTTAAGGAGTTGATTATAGATTTTATTGCGCTGCTCTCTAATTGTCTCATGATTGCGTTTCCGAGGGCAGTGAGCTGGACGAAAACGGTCCCGAACTGCACTCAGCGCAGGGGAACCAGCGTCGGTGCTGGTGCTAAACATTTGTTAACTAGCTCGTTCGTATCTGAACGTTTTCTGCATCCACGATTGGGTGCTTCACCCAGTGGCAGACAACGGACAAGGAGCGAGAAGTATATTCCTTATCTGGAAGAATGTATAATTTAGTTGAGAAAACCAGACGGACACAGATTTTTTAAGTGATAAGTGATGACTATGAATTGGGTTCAAGGAGGGAGGTCACCGCAGAGGATCTCCCCCCAGTCAGAAGTCCCCCAACATTTGGGAAGCCGAGCTCAGCTCGGGGCAATGGGCATCTACCCCCCAGCCGGCAACATCTCTCTTGCCCCCCGCCCCCCGTCCCGCTCCGCCCCTTTCCCCCAGGCAAAGTCAGGGTCTTTCTTGGAGGTACTGGGGGTTACTGGAGAGGGGGTGGCGGCGGGCGCGAGAGAATCTTAACCCCGATACATTTATGTTTCAACTTCTGCGTCCGAATTTCCTTATCGTCTTCGTGCATCCGTTTTCCTGCCTGGAATCCTCAGGGTGAGGCAGACTCCTTTCCGCCCAGAGGTGCCTAAATGGGGCCAAGAGACGCAGTCCCGGAGGCGCCCGAGCCCCGTGCGGGGAAGCCCGGCGCGGGGGCCGCCCCCCGGACGAGAGCGGGGGCCGCCCCCCGGACGCGGGGCTCGGGTGCCTGGCTGTGCCAGGAAGCGCGCTTCCGCTCGCGGGTCTGGGCCCCCGCTCCCCGCCTCCCCATCCTTCGCGCCGGGGCCGCGCACGGTACGCCGGGGGGCGCGCACGCAGGGGACTGGCCTGCCCGCGGCGCGGGGGAAAGTTGAGTTGGGAGAAGTTGGGAGCGGCGGGGGCGAGCCCCGAGGTGGGCACCGGGGAGTCGTTGGGAACGCGCGAAGGCGCCGAAGAAGGGGGAGAGACCCCTAGACCCCCCGGGCAAGAAGTCCAGAGCAAGCGGGTGAGCGAAGAGGTGGCGGCGGGGGAGGGCCAGGGCCGCGGAGGAAGGGAGGGGAAGGAGGGGGGAACTCGGGACTCGGAGCCGGGAGGGAGTGGAAGTGGAGGAAAGGGCGGAGACTGGGGCGCGGGGAAGCGAGGTCTGGGGAGAAGGATGGGGAGGCGAGGGGAACGCTGGTCGGCAGCGGGATCCCGGGTCTGTTCCTCAGAGTTCCCTAAGGCGAGGGTGCCGCGCCCCCTGCCACCACGAGGGAGTAGTCTCTGGGAGGCGCCGCCCACCCTCCCAACTCCTGGGCGGGCTCCAAACGACACCTCTTCCTTGCGACCCCCTACTCTACCCTTCAGGCCTGTGCAGGGCACCCAGCCTGGGGGTTGCCCGGGGCCTTCGCCTCCAACCTCCGGGTTGGGAGGAAGAGCCGAGAAGGGGGGGTGGCGGGTCAGGTAAGGACAAGGGGTCAGGTAGGAGAGGGAGCAACTGGGTGGGGATGAAAAAGACGAGCCCCGAGGGTTGGACCTGATTCCAGAGGGGCTGGCTTGTCGGGGTGAGGAGCTCCACGCTGGGTGTGTGTGTGTGGGGGGGGCGGTGGTGCCTGAAATCCAGGGTCCACTTTATCCTTCTCCCTCCAGCCTCCACCCAGCCAACCCCACCTCGAAGAGCTGTGGAATGTGCGAATTCACTTGGTTGATGCCCAAGTGGAGGTCCGGGGTGCTAATCCCTTGGGCAGGGGGAAAGATGCTAATCCTTCGGGCCGGTCGGGGCTGGTCCCCGGAATGTGTCCCTACCCCGGATTATCGGCACCAATGCTCTGGACAGAAGCTGCTTTGTGTTCTAGGATGTCGATGGGGGGGCAGGAGGGTGTTAAAGTGGGAGGGAGGATGGAGAAGCATTTTGAGGGCACAGCCTGGAGGCGAGAGTGGGGCACATGCAGGTGCTCAGGACATTCCACAGGCTTCCCAGACCAGGGTCCCACCCCGGTGCTCCTCTCGCCCACGTCAGACGTGTCCTGGCTACCGGCCTGCTGGGGGAGGTGAAGAGAGCCGTCAGCTGAGTTGGAGTGCTTGCCAGGAATGTGTCGCTTCAGGCTCCCCATCCTGGACTGACACCCCCCCCCCATATTGTTTGACCCTTCTCGGCCGGTCTTACCCCTGAGGTAGCCGTAGACCCCAACAACGCACTGGAGAGTTTCAGTACTTTTACTTTTGGAGAGCCTTGGGTGCCCCCCTGTGCTTCCCCCACTGTGCATGGGTACCCCGATTGGCACTGGTCAGGTTCCCTAACTGCAACTCTTCTTCCTCACCACACCGTGTTTCTCCCCAGACACCCTACGGTCATAGTCAGGAGGGCAGGGCGTCAGCCCTGCCACTCATATTTTCCTGGCTGGAGGGGAGGGGAGGGATCAGGACTGCCCCTCAAGGCAGAACCTAAGGGTTTCTGTGCCCACCCTCCTCCAACATCGTCACGTGCCCCTCCCCCCTTATAAAACTCTGCCTCCTCGGTGCCTCAGTCCTCCCTCCCTCCCACTGAGTGAGTGGAGTTGGGCTCCTGCCCCTCCCCCAGGCAGCCTGCATCCCTCCCTGCCAGGTTTTCATCAGGGGAGGGGGCACAGTCAGGTTCCCCCTCCCTGCTCTGGGCTGTCTCCTAGGACCCCCTTGCTTGCTCTTTTGGACTCTCTCCAGAGTTCTTTCTCTCCCTCCTTTCCTCCCTACGTCCGTGCTCCATGGGGTATCTCACACTCCCCAGCATACCCCTCCCTCATGCCACCACTAGGTCACTGCCCCTGTTTCTGGCTCACCCTGTCCTTTCCCTCCCTCCCTCCCTCCTCTGTCTCACCCCACACACAAGCTCATCTCTGCTGCTTTCTCTCCAGGTCTGGGCCTTGAATCCTTTCTCACCGCCCCTCCCCCCCTTTTTGCAGCCTCTTCCACCTTCTGCTTTCTACCCCCAACTCCTCCTCAGTCTCTTGGCCCTTTGTGGTCCCAATCCTTGCCTGTCTTTCTCTTTGTTCTTCTCCTTTCTTCCTATAAATAACTCTTCTCTTTGCTCTTGCCGCCTCCAAGGGCCACTCTGAGGCCCTTGGTGACCTGGGAGGATCCTGCGCAGCCAGGAGACTCCTCGTGGCCAGCCAGCGGGGAGCCTCGCATCCTGTCCTCTCCTGGGCCCGGTGAAGGGCTGCGCAGTGCCCGGGGCACCCTCGCCGGGCTGGCCTTGTTCTCACATGGTGATGGGTCCTCTCCCCCACCCAGGTTATGCCGCCACCTTGTTGCCCTGAAAGCCGCAGCGACAGTGAAAAGGGCTAAGATTTGGCCATGAGCAGCGCCCCCAGGCGCCCCGCCTCGGGCGCAGATTCTTTCCGAACTGTGAGTATTGCCGGCCGAGTTGGCCACCCCCTGCCCTCCTCAAGCCACAGGTGCTCCTGAGGATTCCGTGTGTGTGCGTGTGTGTGCGTGTGTGTGTGTGTGCCCGCGCGCCCCACAGGCTTGGAAGTGAGGGGAACCTGTGATAGATTCCTGAGGGGCGCTAGGGGTCTGAGATGGATATTGGTTGAGAGGGGTCAATGGGCTCTCAGCCCTGGGGAGGAGGTTGAATGGTAACCTAAGTGAGAGAGAGACCTTGGGGACTCTGAGTCTCTAACCAAGCGATGACCACCCCCCACACCGGCGTTAGAGACCTGGGCAGTCTGTGCTCAGTGGTTCTGGGCGGAGCTCACTAGCAGGGCCCGCCCTCGGCCCCGCCCCCACCCACGTGGTTCCCCACCCATGTGGCCCACACCCCACGTGGCCCCCTCCCGATTTTCCTGGGAAGTCTAATGATTAACCCCGAGTGCCATAATCATCCCGTTATTGGTCACTTTGGCCCAGCGGGCATGTGACTAACAAGGGGCGCGGGCAGGTCCCTTCCCCCTCCTTCCCAAGTTCACCCCTGCCGGCCATGGACTTCCTCCTGCGCCCTCAGGTGGGAGGGATTCGCGACCCCCCTCCCTCACCCCTGCAAGCTCCCGGTGTTCCCTGGCTTCAGCACCTCCCCCTGCCCTCCTCCCTGCAGCGTGCTAATTCTGGTGAGGTGGGGCGGCTGGCCCCTGGGGGTTGCGGGCTAGAGCTGCTGAGATGGGCTGGGGAGAAGCAGCCCCCTGTCCCCTCCCTCCTCTTGAATCCAGTATCTCTGCCACCCCAGCTGCTCCTGTCCCCACCTCGGAGTTTCCCCAAGACCCGCCCTTCCCCCCAGCCCCCTCCCCTTGCTCTTCCTTGCTCTTCCTTGCTCTAGCACCGCCACGGAGGGGACTCCATACTCCGCCCTTTGAGATCTTGATGCCCTTCAGGTCCAGATGCTCTTGAGCAAATATTTGGCGCGCTTGGAGCTGAGACCGGCAGGCGGTGGGTGGGGGGCTGGACCAAGGCCGCAGGCGAGGCAGCAGGCTGATAGCTAGTTAGCTGGGCTGAGCTCTCCAGAGCAGCACCGCAGTCCTGCTGCTCCGCGCTCCTGCAGTATGACTCAGGTGGGGGGAGTGGGGGAGGGGCGGGGCCAGAGAGCCGCGGAGGGGCCCCCGGGGGTGCGGCTGTGGCGTCTGGGGGGCTCCGGTGACCCGGCGAAGCTGCATTTCTGTGCGGGGTCTGCGTTTCAGTTTGACTCAGACCGCAGGCCAGGTCAGTTAGCTTGGGCGCCTCCAGAAGTTACTTTTCAGGCTGGGCAGCTGCCTCAGCCAGAGGGAGTGTGTTCAGGGTCAGCCGCGGGAGCTGCTGGGTTTACAGGACCTGCCAGGGGCGGCACACACATGATTTCCGAGGAGATTTCCGGAGCAGCCCCTTTCCGCCTGCGCTAAATGTCCGGGTGGGCACAGCCATCCAGAGAGCCTGGACCTAGGGAATAGGGTGCTGGGGGGTCCCCGATCTCCAGCACTGGGCAGGGTAGGGTGTTGGGTGAGCTCCTGGTGAGCTTGTGTGGTCTCTTTATCCCTCCTCACAGCCAGAGAGCGTGGGTCCTGCAGCACCTGGGTTCCCAGAGCAAGAGGAAGATGAACTTCACCGAACCCTGGGCGTGGAGCGGTTTGATGAGATCCTCCAGGAGGCAGGGTCTCGAGGAGGGGAGGAGCCAGGCCGCAGCTATGGGGAGGAAGACTTTGAATGTGAGGGGGACACCCTGCAGAGGGGGCAGGGGCCTAGCAGGAGGGGCCTGGGCTGGGGCCAGGATGGCAGGGGAGTGAAGCTCTGCCTGCCGACAGCCAGGTCCCCTTCTCCCTGCAGACCACCGCCAGTCCTCCCACCACATCCATCACCCACTGTCCACCCACCTGCCTCCGGACACCCGCCGCCGCAAGACACCCCAGGGCCCAGGGCGGAAGTCTCGAAAGCGCCCCGCAGCCTCCCCCACTGGGGAGACCCCTACCATTGAGGAGGGAGAGGAAGATGAGGATGAGGCCAGTGAGGCCGAGGGGGCCCGGGCACTCACCCAGCCGTCCCCTGCCTCCACACCTTCCGTGCAGGTGAGTTGGGGCAGGGCTCCTGGGGGGTGTCTGTGGGGTCCCGGGCCTGGCCTCATCTGCCTACATGGGTCCCTTTTCCAGTTCTTTCTCCAGGAGGACGAAGGCACTGACCGGAAGGCAGAAGGTACTAGTCCCTCGCCCCCTCCACCGGTGCCCCAGCAGGAGGCAGCTGCCCGGGCCACCAGAGGGGCCCAGACCGGGTGAGTGTTCCCAGGGACCTTCCCTGCTGTCATCAGCGAGGATCGGGAAAAGAAGCAGAGGCTCGGCATCATCAGACTGGGGTTCAACTCTCAGTCCTGCTCCCCGAGAGCTTTTGGGCGAGTAACCTCTCTGAGCCCGTTTCCCCTTCTGTGAACCAAGAATAACAGAACCTTGCTCACAAGGTGGTCATAGGGATTAAGCGGGGCAGTGAGTTAAGGTTGAAGAACGGTTTAGCTTGGCAGGGAGCAGATGTGCAGTCCGAGCTGGCCTCCCCCACCCCTGCCATCCCCTCGTCCCAGGCTGCAGATGGACGCACGGGGTCAGGACTGGTCTGGTAACCTCCACGCACCTCTCGAGGCCCTAAGAGTGTGAGAGAAGTCGGAGACCCCCTCCTACATTTGGGGAGCTTGCACCAGTCCACCGTGGTTGTCGTCTCAGGAAATGGCACCAGGACAAGTTACTACGCCTAATGGCCTGGTTCAGGCATGGTGTCGGCACCAGCAGGTGCTTGGAGTTTGGGGGTGTTCGCCAGAGAAGGCTGCCTGGAGGAAATCACTTTGAACTAGTTCTCAAGGTCACTACTATCACGGACTTGTTGTTTTCTGGGTGCCAGGCAGCGTGAAGGGCTGAGGAGAAGTGAAGGGCATGGTGCCCCTCCAGTGTGTGCACAGGCGGGCTGTGCAGGTGGCGCTGGGTCCCCAGCCGGGTCTGCACTGCAGGCACTGGCCTGTGGGCATCCGGATGGCCAGTAGGAAGTGGGGGGCCTCAGAGAAAACCTGATGGTGGGGGTTCTGGCCATGGGCCTGATGCGGTGGGAGGCGCTAGATGCCAGGACAGAGGTTAGAATGACGTGACAGGGACCAGGGCACGCTGGCAGTGGCGGAGAGAAAGGGAAACGTCTGGTTCGGAGGACAGGAGCAGAAGTTGGAATCTGTACGGGATGAGGAGTTATATCTTCCTTGTGGCTGCAGGGGGCTGTCTGCAGTCCCAGAGCTCATTTCCACGGACTAGACCCTGTTGGGTCAGACATGTGGGGCCCTGTGACCCTCTTGGGTCCATGGTTAGGGATGTGCCTGGGAGGGGAGGAGGGAACCAGCACTGTTCTGAGCGGCAGCTCCAGGCCCCACCCCCACCCCAGAGTTGCCTCTCTCGGTTTTACTGCTGAGGAGTGTGTTCCGAGCGGGCTGATGTGGCCAGTCGAGGCGAGGACCACGTGTACAGGCTGCAGTCTACTTCCAGAACCCTCCATCGTCCACACCCGCACTCCGTAGAGTGGGGTGCTCGGAGGGTGGGGTCTTCCTGCATGGCTCCTGGCGGAGGGGAGGGGCCGACGTTCTGTGTCGTGGCTGCTCTGTCTGTCCAGGGTCTCGGTGGAGGAGGTGGTGATAGTGACCAGTGGCACAGCGGGCGGTGACGATGGTGGCGCCGCTGGGCGCCCCCTGACCAAAGCGCAGCCTGGGCACCGCAGCTACAACCTGCAGGAGAGGAGGCGCATCGGGAGCATGACGGGGGCCGAGCAGGCCCTGCTGCCCCGCGTCCCCACGGATGAGAGCGAGGCCCAGACGCTGGCCACGGCTGACCTGGACCTCATGAAGAGTGAGTGCTGGGGCCCCGCCCCGTGCTCCTGGGAACTGGGTTCAGAGAAAGGGGGAGCCACCCTGGCCAGCGCGGCTCATTGGGTTGGAGCACCCTCCTGTGCACTGAAGGGTTGTGGGTTCGATTCCCAGTCAGGGCACATATCCAGGTTTTGGGTTCGATCCCTGGTCCAGGTGCCTATAGGAGGCAACCGATCGATGTTTCTCTCTCCCATCAGCGTTTCTCTCTCTCCCTCTCCCTTCCTCTCTATCTAAAACCAATAAAAAGCATATCCTCAAGAAAGGGTTAAAAAGAAGAGAGAGAAAGAAGGGGAGCCTGACCGTGCCCTTGTGTCCCCAGGTCACCGGTTTGAGGATGTTCCTGGGGTTCGGCGGCACTTGGTACGGAAGAACGCCAAAGGGTCTGGGCAGAGCGGCCGGGAAGGACGCGAGCCCGGCCCCACGCCTCGGGGCCGGCCCCGGGCCCCACACAAGCCCCACGAGGTAAGGTTCCCGGCTTCACGTGGTTTCCGTCCTCTCCCCGTGTCCCCCCGCCCCTGCCTCTCGGACCAGCCGTGTCTCCCCAGCACTGGGGGCATCACCGCGGTTCTGAACATTTCCTTCCACGCTGTTGATTTCTGTTGTGGCCATTTTCTGTGGACCCTTTGGACTAGAGGCAGCTGTGTGGAGCTGTGACCTTCACTTTCCAGAATCCAGTTTCCTCTGACTCATTTGATCCTCCCACAACCTGTGAAGATGATGGCCCAGGTGGCGTCAGCCATAAATCAGGGGCCGTGATTGGCCAAGGTCACTCAGTGACTTCGCGATGCTGCCCCTCTTAGACGCCAAGGCTCTGGCCCTGAACCCTGACCCTGACAGTGGATTTTAAAACCACTTTATGGAGGTATAATAGACACACAGTAAAGCACACTCGGGATGAGTGTTCAATGGCTTTGTGCACACGGACACAGCTGGCTAACCCCACGAGACGTGGGATGTTCTCTGCACACGGAAGGCTCCTCCACGCCTCCGCCCAGTCAGTACCCTCAGCGGCACCTGCTCTCCTGTTATTCTCAGTTTGCCAGTTCTTGAATGCATGTACATGGAACCATACACACCTGCGTGTGTGGCCACTGTTCACCGAGCACTTACCATGAGTCACGTACTGTGCTCAGTGTTTTGTGTGCTTTTTCTTTTAATCCCCCTAGTGGCCCTTTGAGGTGGGTGGTCTTGCTCCCATTTTACAGATGAGGGAAAGAGAGTCTCAGATGGGATGGGAACTCCCCCAGACCCCGTGCCCTGTGCTGTCCAGAGTCACACGGCCCCACCTTGACGCCGCTGGTCTGAGAGCAGTCCCTGGGGCTCCCCGGCGGCTCTGACCCTGCCATGCCCTCTCGTCTCACCCCAAGGTGTTTGTGGAGCTGAATGAGCTGATGCTGGACAAAAACCAGGAGCCTCAGTGGCGGGAGACGGCACGCTGGATCAAGTTTGAAGAGGACGTGGAGGAGGAGACGGAGCGCTGGGGGAAGCCCCATGTGGCCTCCTTGTCCTTCCGCAGCCTCCTGGAGCTCCGGAGGACCCTGGCCCACGGTACCTGTCCCCCCACCGCCTGTCCTCGCCCCGGGACACACCCTTCCCCTGAGTCAGTTCTCTGAGGACCAAAAGGCCACACGGCCCCACCTGTGTCTTGAGCAACACTGATCTGTCACCAGAGCTAGGAGGAAGCGGCTTCTCGTGATGTCACAGGGCCTGCCATTCCCCGGGACCCCCTGTCACTGGGTGGTCGCCGAGCGGGATTGACACTACTCTCTCCTGCCTGGCAGCTTGTCTAAGTGACATTTTCAAATACCCGAAGCCGGTATGCTCCGGATGCTAACATGGCCTTAGGTTTGACGGGAAGCTTTCCAAAACGGTCCGACCTGTGGGACCTGGACCTCCCCGAACGACCACGGGGCGGACTGCTCGGCTCTGCGCCCGAGGTTTCTACTCTCTGCTCGGTTCTTGCTTCCCGCGGTGGGGGTCACTCCCGGCAGCTGTCAGGAGGCCTGCCTCTGAGCTGCTAAGGACCGGGAACCTCGTTTTCCAAACGAGACGCAAATAGCTGTGAGCTAGGCTCGAGCGCTTCGGGTGCCGAGTGTGGGAGCCTGGTGGCCGGGCTCTGCGAGCTCGGTTCCGGCTACGCCGGGGCTTCTGCTTCTATTGTTCTTCAGGTCTGCGCTCTGAAATTCGACCTTGACAGAAACAGGACTTGGGGGCTTTTTTATTTTTTATTTTTTTAACTGTTTTTCTCTTTGTTGATTTTAGAAAGAGAGAGAGATGGAAACATCGATGAGAGAGAACATTGTCTGTCTGCCTCCTGCATGCCCCCCACTGGGGACTGGTCAGGGCATGTGTCCTGGCTGGGAATCGAACCTGAGACCTCTTGGTGCATGGGTCGATGCTCAACCACTGAGCCACACCGGCCGGGCTGACCCAGTGGCTTTTAAAACGACTTGCACTTCTCTGTGAAATGGCAGCTCAGCGTAGGGACCCGTGGGGAGAGGTCTGTAGGGTGTCTTGTGAACACCTGCTGGAGGTGGGGATGTTGAAGAGCCAGGTGGAGGGCGTGTCTTCAGATGGCTCAAGGCTGCCGGGTGGACAAGGCCACAGCAGCTCTGTTGTGCTCCAGAGGACGAAGCTAGGACCCTAGAGTGGATGTCAGGAGGCGGCGTGCGGCTCGCTGAGGAGGAACTTTCTCACGGGGAAGCGTGGTTTGGCCCAAGTGGGCAGCCTGGGCCGCCAGCAGAGGCTGCCTGCTTCCTGGAAGGGGTGTCTGGGCAGTCCCCAGCCCAGGTGCCCACTCTGATAGCGGGGGTTCCAAGGCCTCTGCTGCGCCCACAACGTTCCTGGGAGAGGGGATGGGCAGGAATAGGTCAGAGAGGCCGTCGGACTTGGGTCTCAAGCACAGCGCGCTGTCCCCTGAACGGTGCTCACCTGGCTGCACCCTCGTCCCCGGCTCTCCCCTGGCTCGGCACTTTGTTGCCTGGGGATGAGGGTCCCCCTACGTCATCCTTCTTCCAGGGGCTGTGCTCTTGGATCTGGACCAGCAGACCCTGCCCGGGGTGGCCCACCAGGTGGTGGAGCAGATGGTCATCTCTGACCAGATCAAGGCGGAAGACAGAGCCAACGTGCTGCGGGCCCTGCTGCTGAAACACAGGTGAGGCCCGCCCGCTGCACCCTGCCCACCTGCCCCTCGCCCGTCGTCACCCTTCTTAACGCACCACCCTCTGCCCCGCCAGCCACCCGAGTGATGAGAAGGAATTCTCCTTCCCCCGGAACATCTCCGCGGGCTCCCTGGGCTCCTTGCTGGGGCATCACCACGTCCAGGGGGCTGAGAGTGACCCTCACGTCACCGAGCCTCTCATTGGCGGTGTTCCGGAGACCAGGATGGAGGTGGAGCGAGAGGTGAGGGGAGAAGGAGGCCCTGTGGTTGGGTCTGGCCGCCCCAGCTGGCTGCAGGTTGTGGGCAGGGTGGGCTGAGCGTCTTCTCCTGCACCCCCAGCGCGAGCTGCCGCCTCCCGCCCCAACGGCTGGCATCACGCGCTCCAAGTCCAAGCATGAGCTGAAGCTGCTGGAGAAGATCCCCGAGAATGCTGAGGCTACGGTGGTCCTCGTGGGTATGTGTGACACGTCGGGGGCGGGGTCCTGGAGGCAGGCTTGCCTCGCTGCCACCCCTGGGCTTGGGGCTGGGAGGTGGCCTGTGCCCTGCCCTTGCCCACGACAGCCCCGTGCCCCCAGGCTGCGTGGAGTTCCTCTCCCGGCCCACCATGGCCTTCGTGCGGCTGCGGGAGGCAGTGGAGCTGGACGCGGTGCTGGAGGTGCCTGTGCCTGTGCGTTTCCTCTTCCTGCTGCTGGGCCCGAGCAGCGCCAACATGGACTACCACGAGATCGGCCGCTCCATCTCCACCCTCATGTCCGACAAGGTCCGCCCCGGCCCAGAGCCCAGCCTTGCCCCCGGCCCCCGGCCCCGGCCCCGGCCCCCGGCCCGTGCCCTCACCTGCCCCGTCCTGCTCCTGCAGCAATTCCACCAGGCGGCCTACCTGGCAGATGAGCGGGAGGACCTGCTGACTGCCATCAACGCCTTCCTGGACTGCAGCGTGGTGCTGCCACCCTCAGAAGTGCAGGGCGAGGAACTGCTGAGATCCGTCGCTCACTTCCAGCGCCAGATGCTCAAGAAGAGGGAGGAGCAGGGCCGGTTGCTGCCCCCGGGGGCAGGGCTGGAGCCCAAGTCATCCCAAGATAAGGGTACGGGCCAGTGCAGGCCAGGGCTGCCTGGGCAGGAGCCCGATGGTCTCTGTTTCCGGAGGAGAGTGGGGTGGGCGGGGGGGCTGTGGCAGGCGCCCTCATGGAGGCCCGGGTTGCAGCGTTCCTGCAGATGGTAGAGGTGACTGACACAGTGGAAGACGATCCCCTTCGGAGGACGGGCCGCCCCTTCGGGGGGCTGATCCGAGATGTGCGGCGCCGCTACCCTCACTACCTGAGCGACTTCCGGGATGCTCTCGACCCCCAGTGCCTGGCCGCGGTCATCTTCATCTACTTTGCAGCCCTGTCTCCTGCCATCACTTTCGGGGGGCTGCTGGGTAAGGAGAGGCTTCAGGTGGGGGCGGGGAATACAGAGGGCTCGGCCGCCAGCCCCTGAGCTGGTTCCTGCCACCCCAGGAGAGAAGACGCAGGACCTGATCGGTGTGTCGGAGCTGATCATGTCCACGGCGCTGCAGGGTGTGGTTTTCTGCCTGCTGGGTGCGCAGCCGCTGCTGGTGATCGGCTTCTCGGGGCCCCTGCTGGTCTTCGAGGAGGCCTTCTTTTCGGTGAGGGTCCACAGGCCACGGGGGCTGCCCCTCCCCTTTCCGGAACATGCCCACCCAGGGAGTCCCCAGGCTCGGGACCTGACTGGACCTGCCCCATTCCTGCCCCTAGTTCTGCAAAAGCAACAACCTGGAGTACCTGGTGGGCCGCGTGTGGATTGGCTTCTGGCTGGTGTTCCTGGCCCTGCTCATGGTGGCCCTGGAGGGGAGCTTCCTGGTGCGTTTCGTCTCCCGTTTCACCCAGGAGATTTTTGCCTTCCTCATCTCCCTCATCTTCATCTACGAGACCTTCTTCAAGTTGATTAAGGTGCGCAGGTCTCACGGAGTGCTGGGCCAGGGGGGCGGGGCTTCAGGCGGGGGGGGGGGGGGTGCGGCGCCAGGGTGTGGTCCGCCCCTCTTCTCTCTCCTGGTTGTGAGATCCCCCAGCCACAGTCCAGGGAGCCCACAGAGTCGGGCTGGTTCTTCCTCCGGCCTCCCCGGAAGTCCTGCCAGGTCATCCACACACCAGGGCTTGTGATCAGTCTTAAAAACATACCTTTAATAACCTTGGTCAAAGTGGCACACAGTTCAGAATCATATGAAGCGAAAGGCCCTGGGAGGACGCACGGGGTCAGTCAGCCCTCAGTCCTCCGCGCCCCACCCCCGATCCTCCCGCTGCCTTCCTGAGTCAGAGCAGGTGTCTCCCTTGTTTTGTTCATCCTCATCCGAGGATATTTTTTCCCATTACAGTTGTAGGGAGAGTGGAAGGGTGGCAGCGGGGAGAGAAATGTGGACGTGAGAGCGACTCATCGACCGGTTGTCTCCTGCCTGTGCCCCTACCAGCGGATCGAACCCGCGACCCTTCCGTGTGCAGGCTGGTGCTCTGAACATTGAGCAACACTGGCCAGGGCCCAGGGCCTCTCTCTTAACCCTCAGTTGCCCTGGTGTTTTGGGTTGTTTTCTTTGCAAGACAAGCTCCTTGAGGACAGGCTGGCTTTCCCCTCTCGCTTGTCTCACGCATGCAGCTGGGCCCGGAAACCTCGCCAGCGTCGTTGATGGAGTCCTTTCTCCTCTCCCTAGATCTTCCAGGAGCATCCCCTCCACGGCTGTTCTGTCTCCAACAGCTCTGAAGGAGACAGTGACAAAATAGACAGCGGCGATAATGTCACGTGGGCTGGGGCAGGAGTGACGCTGGGGCCAGGGACCAACGGGAGCTTGGCTGGGCCCTCTGGGCAGAAGAAGCCCCGGGGCGAGCCCAACACAGCCCTGCTGTCCCTGGTGCTCATGGCGGGCACCTTCTTCATCGCCTTCTTCCTGCGCAAATTCAAGAACAGCCGGTTCTTCCCCGGCCGGGTGCGTGGGCTGGGGGTCCGAGGGAGGCAGGAGCTGGGGGCAGGAGTGGGTGACGAGGAGTCACGCCTGTCCGGATCGGGGCAGGGGCCTCTGGTTTGAGAACAGCGCTTGCCCACAGGTGCGGCGGGTGATTGGGGACTTTGGGGTGCCCATCGCGATCCTCGTCATGGTGCTTGTGGATTACAGTATCGAGGATACCTACACCCAGGTAAAACGGCACACGCAGCAGTGAGGACATGCTGCCTGGCACTAGGCTCTGAAAGCTGCTCTGTGGCCAACCCCAGAGCTGACTCTTAACGGGGCAGACATGGGCCTTTTCCGCAGCACACCCTCGGGGCTCTCCCTCCAAGGCTCACCAGCCCCCACCTCTGCCCTGCAGAAGCTGAGCGTGCCCACTGGATTCTCGGTGACAGCCCCCGAAAAGAGGGGCTGGGTCATCAACCCCCTGGGTGAGAACAACAACTTCCCCGTGTGGATGATGGTGGCCAGCCTGCTGCCTGCCGTCCTGGTCTTCATCCTCATCTTCATGGAGACGCAGATCACCACGTGAGCGGTCCTAGCTGAGGGGGTGGGCCGTGCAGACAGAGCTGCCTGAGGGTGCGCAGATGGGCCCGAGTCCGGGCCAGGGCCTGCCTTGGTGAGGGGAGCCCCGGACCCCGAGCTGGCTGCTGGAGTTGGCTTTGTAGATGGCCGAAGATCCAGTTGGCTTTGCTGGGACGGGCCCATTTCAGGGGGGGAGCTGTCCTGGAGGGTGGGGGCAGTGCAGAAGGGGCTCAGCTCCGTGGTGGAGCTCTTGTTTGGATGGAACGGTGGGGACCGCTAGGTTCCAGAGACAGAGGCAACTGACTGGGCCCTCTGGAAAGCCCAGGTCGTCTGCTGAGCCGGCCCTGGGCCTCAGAGAGCACCTGTCCCGCTCAGGCTGATCATCTCCAAGAAGGAGCGCATGCTGCAGAAGGGCTCTGGCTTCCACCTGGACCTGCTGCTCATCGTGGCCATGGGCGGCATCTGCGCCCTCTTTGGCCTGCCGTGGTTGGCGGCCGCCACCGTCCGCTCCGTCACCCACGCCAACGCGCTCACTGTCATGAGCAAGGCTGTGGCGCCCGGGGACAAGCCCAAGATCCAGGAGGTCAAGGAGCAGCGGGTGACGGGGCTGCTAGTTGCCGTGCTCGTGGGTATGTTCACTTCTTGCCCCTGCCTGTCCTGGGGGGGCCTCAGGTCCACCGAGGGTGGGAGCCCTGGGGACAACTGTTTCTCCTCCTCCTTCCCAGGCCTCTCCATGGTTATCGGGGACCTGCTCCGGCAGATACCCTTAGCCGTGCTCTTTGGGATTTTCCTGTACATGGGAGTTACCTCCCTTAACGGGATCCAGTTCTATGAGCGGCTGCACCTGCTGCTCATGCCGCCCAAACACCACCCAGACGTCACCTACGTGAAGAAGGTGAGCCACCCCCCACCCGGAGAGGCCTGGTGTCTCCCTGCTCCAGGGCTTCGTGGGCCACCCTCCAGCCCCCCAGCCACCGTTCAGCCTGTGCACACCCCACTCTGGTGAGCTCCCAGGAAGGCATTTCTGTCCTTGCCCCCGTGGAGGGGAAAGGGGTCATCTTCCCTCTGATGTGGCAGAAGCAGATGTCCCACCAGGGACCAGGGCCTTCGGTGGCTGGGGAGGAGCCCGGGCTCACCAGTCTCATCCCACCCGACCCACCCCCAGGTCCGGACCCTCCGTATGCACCTGTTCACAGCCCTGCAGCTGCTCTGCCTGGCCCTGCTCTGGGCTGTCATGTCCACGGCGGCCTCCCTGGCCTTCCCCTTCATCCTCATCCTCACAGTGCCGCTGCGCATGGTGGTGCTCACCCGCATCTTCACCGAGCGCGAGATGAAATGCGTAAGACTGCGTGCCCCTCCTCCCCAGTCCCCCAGTGGTCCCTGCAAAGCCCTGGTGGGGGTCAAGCCTCCTGACTCCGTCCTCTCCCCACAGCTGGACGCCAATGAGGCAGAGCCCGTGTTCGATGAGCGGGAGGGTGTGGACGAGTACAATGAGATGCCCATGCCTGTGTAGCTGCTGCCGGACGGACAGCTGAGGGACAGACGATGGACAGAGGGACAGGGGCTGGGGATGCTCTCCCATCCCCTTTCCTTATTTTTATTTAAGTGAATAATTTAAAGTCCCCTTATTCCCCTCCCCTGCAGTAAAGTGCTTCGGCCCCCACCTATCCCTGGCCTTTGTCTGTCTATGTGTGGGGGTGGGGCAGGGATGAAGAGGTGGGGGGGACCCAGCCTGCTCCCAGTCCCAGAAACAAGATGTGCGATGGGGAGCAAAAGGGACTTTAATGAACAAAAACAGAGGGAACCAAAGTGCAAACTGTCCACCCCCCATAGGGGGGCCATGGTGAACCCCATGTGCATCCCCTCACCCCCCTTCAGGCCCCCAGCGGAGGCCCAAGGCTTGGAGCTTCTGTCTCAGGTAGCTCTTGAGCTGGGGCAGGCCTCTCTGTGACTCCATTTCCTCGAAGGGGAGCTGCGGGGAGAGGGCGGCGGGTCACCCACAGGCCCTGTGGGTGGGGGGCTGGGGCAGTCTCACGAGGGCGGGCGGGGCCGGGGAGGCTCTCACCGGCAGGAGCTGGTAGCCCAGCAGGCCCAGGTGCCGCTCGCGCAGGGCCCGCGAGCCCAGCAGCACCCTGCCGTCCCGGCAGAAATGCCAGCGTTCGCGCAGCATCAGCACCACCCTGGAGAGAGGGCTGTGGCTCAGGGTCACTGTCCCTGAAGCCGGGGAGGCTCTCCCACCCTCTTCCCTTACCTTTGGGCAGGGTCTCGGGTAGTGGGCTGAGAGGCAGCCTGGCCCCGGGGACAGGACCTGGGAGGGTACGGTAGGAAGGGGTCCTGGGTTCTCACGGGAAGCACAGCACCAGAACTGCTGACACACAGCAGGAAGTCTGAAAGGTCGAAGATGACAAAGGGCCACTGGCTTTAACCCGGCTCCACGTCCTCAGCTTACTGCCCACCCACTGCCCGGAGGGCACGTCTCCCAGGGCTCACCTGTGCAGTACCCTGGAGGCACGGTCAGGTCTTGGTGGTATTTCTCCTCCCCTAGCAGCTGGCGCAGCCCCTCTGCCACTATATCCTTGTGACTGAGAGGGGAGAGGGCCACATGGTGGAAAGGCCCAGGGGTCGTGTCCTAGCTCACTCCCCCTAGCTTTGCAACCCTGAGCAAATGTCTTTGCTGCCTCAGGGCCTGTTTCTTTCTTTTTGTTAATCCCCACCCAAGGATATTTTTCCATTGATCTTTAGCATGGAAGGGAGGGAGGGGGTGGAGAGAGAGAGAAACATTGATGTGAGAGACACATTTGTTGCTTCTTACATGTCCAACTGAGGCCAGGCCTGCAACCTGCCCGACTGGGAACTGAACCCACAACCCTTCAGTCCTTGGGCTGACACTCTACCCACTGAATCACAGTGGCCAGGGCAGGGCTCATTTCTTTTTGGTTAATCCTCACATGAGGGTATTTTTCCACTGACTTTTTAGTCAGAGTGGGAAAGAGTAAGAGAAAGATCGATGTGAGACAGAGACGTCGATTGGTTGCCTCCCGCATGACCCCAACTACGGCCGGGGATTGACCTGCGACCCAGGTACATGCCCTTGCCTGGGAATCGAACCCAAGACCCTTTGGTCCTCAGGCCCTTGCTCGAAGCACGGAGCCAAACCAGCCAGGGCAGGCCCATTTCTTTATGGCGGCTGGGAGGACATCTGCCTTGACCGGCCCTGGCTTCCCTGCTCTGCCTCCTCCGGGCTGGTCCCATCCCCTCCCTAGGCTGCCCCATCCACCTGTACTTGGAGCGGGCACGGTCAGTGGTGAGTGGCTGGGGGAAGATGGGCACTTGCTGCTTTCGGGGAAGGCGGGGACCCCGGTATCCTGGGAGCTCCAGCTCCACGGCCGTGTCCAGCAGGGAGAGGTAGCGCCGCACAATCGGGGCATGAGGAGTGCCTGTGGGCAAGGGGACGGAGGCTCGCTGAGCTGCAGACCCCCCGCCCCACTCTGCCCTGCCCACCAGCCCTCCGAGTCCCAGCCAGCCTTCCTGTCTGCGTACCACTAATGTGGTTGATAAAACCTGGGGAAAAGACAAAGTGCAGGGCTCGGAAGGGCAGGCACCGCAGCTGGCACAGTGACATCAAGATGTTGACAGTGGCTAGGGGGGCTACCCCTGCTTCTCGAGCCAGGATCCTTTCAAGGCAGGGCATAAACTGCTGTTCCTGGGGAAAGTAGTTCAGCCGCCCAAAGGGCAGGACCAACTTCTGTACCACCTGTGGAGGGAGAGCAGCCATCACCTGCCAGGCACGAAACAGTCTCCAAGACCCTTGATGAGGTGAGCCTGAGGGAGGCTCGGCCGGCAAGCTTAGACCGTCACTGCAAAGCAGAACCACCCCTCTGCCTGACACACACCAGAGGTTCTCAGCATAAGCAGTGTTCTGAGCCCCATGCAGTCAGTCACCAAGCAAGTGGAGGAGATGCCGTGGTGGGGCCTAGCCCCAAAGGCCTGGAGGAGCGGGATCCGTCAAGTTAAGACAGTGCTAAGAGTGCTCGGGGGACTGCAGAGAACCAAGCACGTTCTGGGAAGTGAAGAAGCTGAGGGTGTGAGCAAAGATGGAAACCTGGGGACGGGGCCTGGCTTGGCTGTTTGCTGTAGGCTGCAGCAGCCAATCAAGCTGGCCGCGCTGGGCCTGACTGGGTGGCTGAGAAGCGTGGGAGGCAATCCCACCTTGCTGTTGAGCTGGGCTTCCTGGACCACCAGGAAGTAGGCAATGGCTTCCAGAAGCTGGGGCTCCCGCAGCCGGTGCCGAGCCAGGTGCTGGGCCAGGAGCACCATCACGTGGGGAGTCAGTTCCTCTGGCCTGGCCTCTGTGAAGAACAGCCTATCACCCTGGACCCTCGGGCCAGACCTCCAGACTAGTGTCTGCCAGAGCCCAGACCCCACCGCCTGCCTCTTCCTCAGCCCGACCCCCAGCCTGCCTTCACCCCCTCCAGCACCTGCCAGGCTTCGGATGAGGTGCTGCCGTGGATGCCGCAGGAAATGGGGGCTGCTCAGAGCAGCTTCCAACCTTTGCCCACCACGGAGGACAGGCTGCAGAGGGGGAGGCGGCTTCGGGGGGAGGCGGAACCTTTGCTCCCGCTCCAGGGCACACACCAGGGGCCCATCTGCCGGGAAGCCTGAGAGGGAGAGGGTCAAGGAGGCAGTCCTGATCACAGGGAGTTGCTCTGCTTTGCTCCGGTCCTGGGGCTGTGAGTGGCTCCCCGACCTCTCTCATCTCCATTTTCTGGGCTGGAAGAGTTGCTACAGTGTAAGTGGAAACTGGAGAAATGTGAAATACCACGTGAACGAAGGGATCTGACCAGTTTGTGGGGAAGGCCCTACACAAAGTTGGCAAATACACTGTCATCTCTTACTAATGGTCACAAGTCGTGGTGACTCCTAGAGCACTGTGACAGAAGGAATATGGGGTACGACCCTCGCTGAGCTGCAACAGATGCTACTTGACTCCTGACGTCTGCTGTGGATGTGGGGGAGCAGCAGTGGGTCGGGGTACAGCCATCCCTGGCAAGGCCTACGAGGTGAATTCTGTCAGTGGCCTTGGATCCTCTACTGCTCTCCTCTAGTCTTTCACTAACACCCACCCCCAGGCACCCTCCTCACCAAGTAAGACTGCAAGGTGCAGACACACGTGGATGGTGTGAATGTCAAAGGAGGGGCAGTTTCGGATGATGAGCTGACTCAAGTCCTGCAGTGTGGCCTGCTCCACAGGAGGGGGCTGTGGCTGAGACCCCAAGAGCTGGCCCAGACGACGAAGCGCCACAGGGTAGTGGTGGGCGCGCACCTTGGTGGGGTTCTGGCCCAGCCAGCGCAGCAGCTCCCCAGGGCTCCTCGCCTGTTCCAGAAGCCGCTGCAGCCCCCGCACAGGGCCTGCATGGGGGCCTCCTCCAGGAGGCCGGTCCCCCCACTTGCTGGGCCCCAGACAGAAGGGCTGTATTGGCGGGAGCAGCAGCAGGCCAGACAGCCGAGCAGCAGAGGCCTGGGCTGAGAGCAGGACTCGAAGCATGGAGTTGGGTGATGGAGACCCTGAGGGGCGGCCCAGAAAAGGCTGTGAGGTTTTCTCCAAAGAGGAGAAAAGCCTGCTATCGACTCCTCGCCTCACTCCCCATCCAGAGGGCCTGGGGTCAGAGCAAGCCAGGCTCATGCTCACCCTCCTTTGCGACCGCTCTGGTCCTCTTCCCCTCCCGCCCCGCTCTCTGCCTCCTTCCATCCTTGAACTGCAACCACAATCCTTCACGTCCTCAGTGCGGGGCATTTACAGAGCAAGTCCACATGCATCATCTGCCTCTCCGACCCCCCTTACACGCCTGGGAGGCGGCAGGCAGGGCTGGCATTACCTCGATTTCACAGGTGGAGGAGCAACCAAGACCCAGAGAGCTGAAGGGGTTACTAAGCCCGAGGTCACGAATCGGGTTAGTGGTGGCGCCCAGCCTGGGCCCAGCGCGCCCAGCGAGGCGCCCTCCCGACCACCTCCCCCTCCCGCAGGAGGCGGCGGCGGCACAGGGGGGACCGCGGGCTCCGCAGCCGCGCGGCGCTGGGTTCCACGCTGGGTGCTCCCACTTACCAGCCGCGTGACCTTGGCCAAGTGGCTTCGTCTCTCTGCCTAAGCCTCCTCGCCCGTGAAACGAGCGCGCGGCGCCCACCTGGGCGGGCGCCGTGGAGCCCGAGTGCGCAGGTCTGCAGGGGCGCGGAGTCGGCGGTGCCGGGGGCCCCCACACCCACCCAGGCCGGGGACGCCAGGGGACCGTGGTCGGGGTCGCCAACACCAACTCCCGCCGCCCTCCCGCGGCCCGCCCCGCAGGCACCCCCCCTACATGACTCCCCAGGCCCCGCGCAGGTCGCTCCCTCAGTCGGTCTCAGGGCCCGGGGGCCGGGCTCCCCCCGCGGCCTCCTCATCGGCCGGCCACCGAGTCCGCCATCTTCCCAGCAGCCCCCGGACGCCAATCGCCGCTCAGTCCTGGGCCAGCAGAGACGTGGCTCCCGTCAGGCCGTGCGCGCCGCGAGCCCCGCCCCCGCGCCTGGGCAGCTGCGCGCGCGGCGCCGGGCGGAGGGGCGGGGCCGAGGAGCCGGGCGCCGAGGTGGAGGAAAGGTGAGGGCGGTTCGTTGCCAGCCTGGGAGCGCTGGGCCGGGCGGAGGGCCCGGGCTGTGCCCGTCACTCCTTCCCTTCCTGTGGGCGGGCACGGGCCCCCGCCCTGTCGGGCCCACACGCCCAGACACACACCCAGAGTGAAAACTTCACAGTTATTTAATCTGCACAAGTTCCAGAGAGCTCCCTCGCCCCCCGCCCCCCACGGTCCTTGGGTCCCCAGATCAGCACAAGGAGCAATTAGGGACCAGAGGTGGCTGGGGCCTCGGGCAGGACACTAAGCGGGGCCCAGGGGTGTGGCCCCGCTCTGCCCGGGGCCCAGGCAGCGACAGCAGCTGGCTGACCCGGAGGAACGGGAGGAACCGACTGTCCGTGGTGGCCGGGGGCCAGCAGCCCCGGGAGGCGGCTCCGAGCCGTGGAGGTCACAGGCAGGGGCCTCCGCCTGCCCCTGGAGTGCTCGGCGGCGCAGGCCCGGGCTCCAGGGCAGCGGGAAGAGGCAGGCCGGAGAGGGGGGCCTGGGCAGACAGCAGCTCCCGCCGCGTGGTGGGGAGCGAGGTCCCGAGGGCCCAGCCGCGCTGCCCAGGGCCGGTGGAGGCACTACGGGCGGTACATGGCAAAAGCCAGGAGACTGAGGAGCAGGGTGAAGCCGGCCAGGCCCAGGGTGGCCGTCAGGGGAAAGAAGGGCCGGTACTGGATCTGACAGTACCAGAGCAGCAGCAGGAGCAGCAGCAGCAGGGGTAGCAGCAGGCTGCCGATTTCCAGCCCGGAGGGGCCGGGCTCTGACCCCGGTGGGCAGGGGGGGTGTGGGGGACCGACCCTTGTGGACACGTGGCAGTGGAGGACGCAGTTGGGAGGGAGGTGAAGGCTGCTCAGGGTCTGGGTGTCGTCTCCCAGCAGCTGCCCTTGGTAGATGAGTCGGACCTGCTGCTCCCGGCCGGGAAACTGGGTCCTGAGGAGAGAGGGACCTGGGTGATAGAGCAGGTCTCAGCAGTTCTAGTCCCTTGACCAGAATAACACTCCCACCCCTTACCTCTGCCCTGCACCCAGCCACCACCCCGGCCGTGGCCCCCAAGGGGATCCCCTGCCGCTACAGGGGATCAATACAGTGTGTGATTTGGGCATCTCAGATCCCTCATCTAAAATGAGGGGTCAGTCTCAGGTGTCTCCGGTGGTCCTTCCAGGTCTGTGATCAGTCCCACCCCCTCCTCAGCATTTGAGTTCTCCCCGTATCCCAGCTTACCTTTTCAGGGAGCCAATGGTGTCGTGGGGCCAGGCCCTGGCCACCTGCTCTGAGTCGTTGAGGAATTTCAGCCTTAATACCAGAGGCTCCTGGGGGGAGTCCGGGGGTGGCGGCGTCGTTGGGAGCCCTGTGGCAGGCTCTGGGTGTGCAGCCTGGCCTCTGTGTCTCAGGCTGGGGGGCTCGGCTCCTGGGTCCTCCCCTCTGATGCTGTCGGTGACCACCATGGCTTCACTGGGCTGCGCTTGTGTTGGGGTCCCTGACGGCTGAGGCAGTGGGTCCGCACTCTCCGATGTGTGTGTTGAGACCCAGGCGAGAGCCAGCACCAGAAGGCAGGCAAGCACCGCGAAAAGGACAGTCACCTCATCACCCACCCCTTCAATCAGGGCCATGGCACCCGCCTTGCCCGCTGCACTACTGCGCTGGAGAGGCACAAAGAACCCATGAGGTGTTGAGGGGCTGGCTCACAGGGGCCAACGGCTCTCTGCACTTCAACAGGCTTCTGACCCTACCCCACCCCAACTTCCCACAGCCCTCACTCCGCTGTCCCCTTACCCAAGTCCCAGCCCAGGGCACAGACTGCTTTGACTCCCCGTTGCCCCAAACTTGCCTCCAATGCCACTTCCCATCACCAGATTCCAAGTCCTCACTTTTGTAACCTGAGTTCTAGGTCTTTAACCAGCTCCCCAATTCACCCAAACCCTACCCCAGAGATCAGGGCCTTGACCTTCTAAGCAACCTCTCCCCTAACTTCAACCCCCACCAAACTTCACCCTCAATCTTACCTATTCTTCTGTCTACTTCATCCCAAAAGTTTATTCCTTCGCCAATTCCACCCCAAAGCTGCTTATCTGCCCCCAAACTTATCTCCTGCTCCGTCGCTGAAGTTTCTCCGAGGGGGAAGAAAATGGGCCTCTATGCCGCCCCCGCCCCTTTACATTTACCCAAACCCCACCCACCCACAAGCACGGCTCCCCCAGGCTTCCCTACACCAAACGTCAAACTCCGCCCTTCGGCAATTGGGAGCCTCCTAAGGCTGCCCCCCCGACCCAACTCGGCCCCACCCCGCGGCCCGACTCCGCGCCTCCTCTGGAAGCCTCTCCAAACCCAGCCCCCTGATGGACCCCAGATCCCGCTCGGGAATCCGGGACTTCGCCCTCCCCATCCCAACTCCATCACCCCTCCCATCTTCCCGCCCCCCCGAGACGTGGGAGGGTACGGGCGACTCTGGGACCGGAGAGCGGCTGACGGCCGGGGCTCGGGGAGGCGGGGTGGGCGCGGTCACGGCGCGGGGACTCACCGCCCGGCTCCGCCAGCTCCATAGCGGACCCTCGGGCACTTCCGGGCGGGAGGCGCCGAGGTCGCCGCCACCTGAAGACACCCCCACCCCCTTCGCCGCCGCCGCCGCCGCCGCCGGGAGCATTGTGGGACTTGTAGTCCTGGCAGCACGCAGTTCCCGCCCTCCGCCCTGCGGACCCACGTGCGGGGTTCGGCCGACTGGTTCCGGTGCCCTCAAGTTGCAGAGGGAAGTGCAGGGCAGGTCTGGGAGTTGTGACAGCCCCCAGACGTCTGGGCGGCAGCAGGATCCGTCCTTCCCCCCCGCCAGCAGCCAGGGCATCTGTCACTGCAGAAACCGACGTCAGCTGGAGCACGTCAGAGCACCTGTGTTCCGAGATGCCGCTCTGGTGAACCCAGGTGGCTCGGCCTACTCTTATGTCAGGTGAACGCCAGAAGGTACCTCGGCTGCCCCCGCCCCCCAGGTTGACTCTTCCGCCCAGAGCCCAGTAACCAGGGGCGGCCCCACCAGTCTGGCTGAGTATACCCGTCCCCAGGGCTGGCCACCGCGGGTTGGGCTGCCCTGCTTCCCTGGACCCCTCTTCTGCCCTGCCCCTGCAAGACTGTGAACAAGGGAAGCGGGGACTTTGGAACCCCACACAATGCTGATCCCTTATCTCTTAATGACCTTAGGTTCGTTACTGAATTTCTTTGAACCTAAATTTCTTCATTTCTAAAACTTCCCTCATAAGGCAATTGTAAGGAAGAAATTAGATGTTTTGTTAAATAAACGTGAAAACGATGTAAGGGATCTGTCTCAGGGTAGATACTTGCTCAACTAGTATTAGTACTCTCCCTCCACTCAAATCTGGGCGTGGAAATTGAGTTCTTAACATGTTACTGTGTAGAGGATGTTGATTTGATCCCCAGCCTGGCCTAGGCCAGCCAATTTCTGTGGGTTTCCCTCCTTACTCTGGCCTCCTATAGCCACAGAGATCCCACATCCTGGATTTTATAGGCCAGTCTTGGTTTGTTTTTTTTTATCCTCACCCGAGGACATTTTTCCATTTTTTGTTCAGATAGAGTGGGAGAGAGAGAGAAACATCGATGTGAGAAAGACATCGAGTGGTTGCCATCCCCACAACCCAACCAGGGCTGGGGACAAACTGCAACCTGCAACCGAGGTACATGCCCTTAGGGCGAACCGAACCCGGGTGTCTCTGGATCGCAGGTCAATGCTCTAACCGCTGAGCCAAACTGGCCTGGGCAGGCCAGCCTTGATTTAAAAGTAATGTACCCTTGTGTTCCTATAGTACATACCTACTTGTGGGAGCAAGTACTCCAAGTATTGCCTTAAGAATGTCAGTGTAGCTTTATAACACAGAGAACTAACATGTCTAGTTCTTTCCCTCCCGTTCACCCATTTTTCTACAAACATGTATTAAATATATGCCAGGCATGTATAAGGCACTGTCCCCGCCTTCTTGGGGCTCATATACTCCTAGCGGGCACACATGTAGGCAGCATACCAGTGCTACAGTAGGTGTGTGCTGGCTGCAGGGCAACACATTTCAGAAGCTCTATAGTCTCGGCATCTCTCCTGGGAGATACCTGGTGGCAACTTCTTCCTGTGGATTCTAATTAAGCACTAAAAGAGATGTTAGATATTGCTTTTAGAATTACAGAACACCAGAGCTAGGTGTTCTGTTCAACTACTATATTTTTCGGATGAAACCCAGAGAATGTATAAGACGTCCTGAAGGTCAAACAGGTAGATGGAATCCACATCTCTCAGGAGCCCCCAATGCTGATTAGCTTGCATCTGGTTCTTTGGAAGGTATAAGACACTTAGGAATGGTGGCTGGGTTGGTACTCGGGCAGAGTTGTGTTGGTAGCCAAGTGGGTGGCAGCTTTATGCTGGGAAAAGACCTAGCTTGGCCTGGGAAGTGGAATTGTGTTTAAACAGGATAACACAGGTCAGCTGTGCCAGAAGACATGCTGAGGGGGAGGCAGCCCTGGCAGGCTGATTGGCTGGGCCAGTGTCCTGCACATGCCATCTCCTGTGGCTTTTAGGAATGGTTGTTGAGAGGGGTGTCAGCAGAAGTGCAGACAGCTTTGGCAATGGGAACGCAGAGGACTGGGACAGTGAAGGGAGCTCCTGGCCCCAGAAGAGTGGACAGGAATACAGGGTGGACAAAGGAGTGAAGACAAGGAACATTAAGAGAGTCATGTTGTCTCTTGAATGGGGTGAGCTGGGGAAGAAGACATAATATTTGATTTCTCCCTCTTCTTTCTTTCTTTCTTTCTACCTGTGGGGTGTGGCAGTGGTCTGGGAACCCTCCCCTGTTCAGCAGAAGGGTTTCTAAGGAGAGGCTGTAAGATAGGAGTGGGGACATTGTTGTTCAAAGTGTCATTTCCAAGAGCCCCTGCCAATGAAGCTCTGAGAGAACCGGAAATAGAATTTCAGCCTCTGTGCTGCAGCCGGCAGTGGAGAGTCCAGGGGAGGGCTAGAGAGAGAACCCCAGGGGAGCTGTGGTCTCTAGGGATGACCTCGGGCCGGGGACAGGGGAGCCTGTGCCGCACGGAAGGCAGGACGATGTAAGGGAGGCGCAGCTGGGCCTGGGCTGGCGGCCTTCCTCGGCCAATCGACCGCATTCATCAGCACCCTCAGGTGCAGGGCCCTGTTCGGGCAGTGCCCAGAGATCGGACACCCCACCCAGACCAGCTCAGGAAGGCGAAAGTGTCGGGCCCGAGGGGGCCAGGGCCACTGTCCCCTTCGAGCAGTGGCCCCTGCGGCGGGTGTGGGTGGGGGCTGGAGAGGAGGCGGAAGGGCCGAGGCGTGGTAGGAGGGGCCGGAGCCCAAGCTGGAGCGCGCCGCTCGGGGGTGGAGGCTGCAAAGCCAGCGAGCGAGGGGCGGGGGCGCTGGGGCCGGCTCGCAGGAGGGGCGGGGGCGGCGGGGAGGGGGGCTCGGGCTGCGTGTGCAGGAGCCGGCGGGGGTGGCAGTGCGTGCGCATGACGCGGGGGGAGGGCCCGGGCCGCGCGCTCCCGGTTCCGTTGTTGTTGCCGCCGGAGGTTGTTCCGAGGCAGCGGGATCGCGGCGCCGGGAAGCGCCCGGCAGCGGTGGCCCCAGAGTGCGCGGCGGCGCCTCCCGGCCAAGGCCCCCGGTCCCCGACCCCATGCACTAGTCCCGCGCCGCCGGCACCGTAGTCCCAGCCGCACCAGCCCCGCGTGTCTACCCGCCGCCGCCGCCGCCGCGCCGCCCCGGCCTCGGGCCTCGCGGCTCCGGAGACATGAACTTCCAGGCGGGCGGAGGACAGAGCCCGCAGCAGCAGCCGAGCCTGGCGGCGCCAGGAGGTGGTGGCGGCGGCGGCGGCGGCGCGGGGGGCGGCGGGCAGTTTGGCGGCGCGGGGCCGGGGGCCGGGGGCGGTGGCGGCCCCTCGCAGCAGCTGGCCGGCGGGCCCCCACAGCAGTTCGCGCTCTCCAACTCGGCGGCCATCCGGGCCGAGATCCAGCGCTTCGAGTCCGTGCATCCCAACATCTACGCCATCTACGACCTGATCGAGCGCATGGAGGACTTGGCGCTGCAGAACCAGATCCGGGAGCACGTCATCTCCATCGAGGGTGAGCGGGGCCGGGGCTGCGGGAGCCGGGGCGTGGTGGCCCCTCCGGCTCCGGCCGGGATTCTACGGGTCGGGCCTGGCCACGCTTTCCCTGTTGGGGGTCGCGCGCGCCTCAGGGCCGGGCCACGCGGCTTTTTGAATGCTGGCGCTGCAGAGCCGGTGTCCGGGCTTCGCCATGTCTCGTCTAGGGACACTCTGGGGCTGGGGGCCAGCCCCACGCCGGCGTGTGTTTCTGTTCTTAGAGCTTTAGGGCTCGAGGGTAGTGTCTCCGGGGACGGGAACCTTGGAGACGCAGAGGTTCGGAGGGGCTGGGCCAGGGCTGGTCAGGCATGGCCCGGAGGGTGGGCGCGGCAGAGGGCCTAGGCGGGCGGGGAGGTGGGGCCGCTGCCTGAGAGGCGTCTCGGCCTCTGCCTGCGATCTGCCCCGCGACGGGGCGGGGGATTGGAGCCTCCCGTTAGTGGATGGCAGTCTTCCCGGGCCCAGCGCCCGCAGGCCGAGGAGGGTGGCGCTCGCCGACGCGCCCTCTCCCGACGCACATCCCGCAAGCTGCCGAGGCCCGGAGAGCCGGGCCTGGCTCGGGGCTTGGGCGTTTCGATCGCGTGGGAGGCACTGGGCTGTCCATTCTCGCCTTTGTCGGGCCCCACGCGCCGGGACCTGCTGCTGCTTTCCAAGGAGCCTCTTTGGGGGCACTGACCAACTTCCAGGGACACGGCGCCGGGCGTCAGTGACTGAAGCTCGCGCCCCTGTGCTGCCCAGCGCTCCGTTTTCTAGCCTCTTGGACCCACCCTGGACTTAAGCTGTTGAGGGGCAGAGGAAGCGGGTGCAAGTTGCTGGCATATGCCCGTCAACCCCTGATGTGGTGGGGGCTGGCACCACCCGCAGTCACCCTGTGGCATGGTGACCTTTGAGTGCCCAGTGGGCAGATGGGCCTCGCCCTGGGCCATCTGCTTCCTCCTCGGGTTCCATTTGAAGGGGAACGCCCACCAGCAGGTGGTAGGTCCGCCCTTAGTGGAAATGCAGGGAGCGTGCCGGGCCTTTTGCTGATGACATGGAATTGTGCGCAGGGGCCTGTCCACTATTGGAGCCTCACAGTTAGGGCCCAACTCTCATTTCATCTCTGTGTGTGAGGCCTGGGGGCTCCTCCCCTGAACACCCCCTCTCTGCTTTCGGAGCTCCCTGTAGCTGGGGAAGGAGCATTAGGTCTATGGGGAGTAAGGGACCCCATTAGAGCTGGGGTCCTGCCCTTTTGTTGTGACATCCCAGTCTGACTGCCTTCTGTCTTTTCCCCAGCTCTCTCTAGCCTCTTTCCTCTCAAGGCTGAGTTCATTGTGAACTAATTAGATGACAGAAAAAAAAAACTCATTAACATGGATCTGAGTAAATGGCCTGAATCACCGTTGTGGCTGGGGACTGGGAGATGGCATTTATGTGAGCCTGGGGCCCCAAAGAGAGATGACCAATTTTTCCTCCTAGAGCTGAAGGGGGTGGGGTAGGGTGGTGTGGGGCAGGGAGAACAACCGTTCCCTGCAGTTTCAGTGTCCTTTGGAGGGAGTAAGAGAAGTCCCTGATCAGCTCCAAGATCCCACCCCCACCCCTTTTGGTGAAGTCTTGGAGGGATAGCCGCCGAAGGGGCCAGAAAAGACATCTGTCACAGAGCCTGTCCCAGAGCAGGGAGAGGCAGGATTCTTGGCCTCCACATCTAACTCCGCTTCCTTGAGCCGTGATTAACCCTGCCCCCCAGCTCAGGAAGTCTCTGGCCCATCATCTTCTGGGATGTAAAGGCCATGATGGCGGATAGCTCTTGGGTTCTCACCCAGGTTTAAGTTCACCGCAACAGGCAAATCCCCCTTTTAGAGCTCTCCCCGACCAACTTCCCCACTGTGGTTCGGAAGTACCCCATGTTCCTGTTTAGCCCGGGAGCTTGGTATTACCCCTGTGAATCCTGGGACCTGATGTCTCATTGTCACCAGGCCCAGCTGCTCCTCACACATCCGTTCTCAGCTCCCCTGATCCCTGCTTCCCTGTTCCTTCTTGGCAAGACCTCCCACCTCTTTCTCTCTCCCCCTTTTTCTCCCAGCCTCTTTCCTGGAACCCATTTTTATTACCCACCTCACCCCTGCTTTCCCACTTCTGTCTCCCCAGCTTTTCTGCTGTAGGCAGGCATTAAAAAAAAAAAAACCCAGAAAACTCCTCCAATTTCTGCCCTATATCTTTTCTCTCTCCATCTGCCAAACCATATTGCTGCTGTCCTGCAAAGCAGCGTCCCCACCTCCTTCCTTGGCGGAGGGAGGGGAGCAGCTTCTCGGGCGGTTCCCTGCTCACTCTGAGCATGATCGAGCCCCCCCTGCCAAGGCCCAGCAGACCTGGGTTGCGGCTGTTACATAAACACACTCCTGGCCTGGGAGGCAGAGCCTGTGTTTACTAGGGATGAGTCTCTTAGTGGGAAGGAATGACATTTTCCTGGTGTATAACAAGCCTCCGCCTCACTCTGGGAATACTCAAGTGAAGGGTTTATGTGTCCCAGCTCTGAAGGTGACCTGGGAGATGCAGTCGGGCTCCGTCCGGGACGGAGGAAGTACAGTGGCACCTTGCCCTCCTGTACTCGCTCTGCTGCTCCCGGTCACCTCTGACCCGCGGTTAGGGCAGGAGGGGGCCGAGGGACATTCATCTCTTCGGGGTTTCAGGACAGGATTTGAGTGAGGGCAGAGAAGTTCCTTTTTCCCACAAAAGGCCATAGAAAGAGAAAACGTGTCCACCTCAGGGTCTTAAGGAATGTAGGGAGTATAACCAGGAGCTGGGACGAGGATGGAAGGGTCCCCACGTGCAGAATCGCTGAGCGGCTCTTACCTCCCTGGTGGGGAAACTGAGGATCAGAGGAGAGAGGGAGCCAAGCTGATCAGGCCGGGCCTCAGGCTGGCTCCATCAGGGAAAGGAGCCCCGGGCACTTGCTTGGGTCTCTTGTGTGTCTTAGAAACAAGGCTGCAGAGGAGCTGGGCCTCAGGCCAGATGGGGGACAGCCTGGGCACCTGGAACTCAGGGAGCTGGTCCATGTGAGCCAGAGCCGGGTGAGCTGTTGGGAGAAGCAGCCCTTGGGGGTCCCAGCAGGCGGCCTGGAACGGCAAGCTTGTCCCTGAGATGTGTCCCCTCCTCCCCCAAGCAGGCTTGGGCTCCCAAGGTCCACAGGGAGGGCCTGGAAGTGGACCTTGGCCATGGGTGTGCCACGAGGCTTTGTCCACGGGGCGACGTGTCCCTGTCCTCCTTGTTTCCCCGTAGGGTCTTTTTTCAGGCGACGCTCCTTTAGGCATTCCAGAGGCTGGCTGGCTGGTTCGCACCCTCTCCTCGCTCTTCCAGGAACTTTCCCCCCCGCCTTGGTGGGCTGGGGGCTTGGTAACATTCTGAAGAGGGTTTTTCTGTTGGTTCAAGTCTTAGACTAGAGAGAGAGGGGTGCTGGGGTGGGGGCTGAATGGGGCTCAGCAGCCACACTTCCTAGCAGGCTTGCCTGGGGCTTTGGCCTTTGTCCCCTGTCTCTGTGTGTCCTGTGGCTAGATCTGGCAAGAGTCCCGAGATGCAGGGAGACTAAGTGTATCCGCTTTGGAGGCAGGGAAGCTATTTCCTGAGGTAATTGGCCCTTCCGGCTGGGGGGGGGGGCTTCGCCATCTGGTGATGCTGCTCACCTGTGGAACTTGCTCAAGTACCAGTTTCCGAGGCTCCCTCCTAGGGCTCTAGGATGTGGGGATCTGGACCTGTGTTTGGAACTTCCCGGGGCCATTCCGGTAATTAGCTGCTTTAGCGAATGAGTGCCTGGTGGGGGGCTGGCTGCCTATTTATGACTTGGCACGGAAGAGCTCTAGGAATTCTGAAAAAGAGGATATCCATGTAGGTGCTGGTGGCCAGGGAGAGCCGAACGTGTTCCAGATACATTTATTTAGCTCCTACTGTGTGGCCCAGTTGCACCTAGCTCCCTGGAATGCAGAAGGGAGGGGGGAGGGGCACGCGGCTCTCCAGAGCCAGGTGAATGAATCAGCCTGCAGGAGGTGGCACACCAGATTGGGATCTGGGATCGGCAGGAACAAACCCAGATGTTTTAAAAAATCGGGGCGAAAGTTAGGTACTGGGGAAGACTTCTCAAGACCCTTTTCCTTAAGGTCACAGGAGAGGGATGAAGAGACCCGCCCAGCCTGACCTCAGGCGGCAGGGGGAACCCCTCTCCCCATTTAGTCCTCATTCACTGCACGGCGGGAGACACCACACAAGTAAGACAGTCCTTGCTCCCAGTTACCCCGTGGCCGGTGCCCACCATTTGTATCTTTAACTGAATGTGAATACCAGGCATGGATGGGGTCCAGGAGAAGGAACAGGTTTGCAAAGGCGGCAGGGGAGGGTAAAAGTATAGCGTGATGTTTAAGGAGCAGCAGGCTGGGGTACTGAGTCCATGGGGGATGGGCAGGGGGCCCTAGTTCAGGGGTTTTAATGCTTCATCCTGTGTTACCCATTTATACCTTCCCATGTTCCAGGAGACCGTTCTAGATGGCACTTAATCCTTCAGGAGACAGGCTGTCCCGGGAGGGTTGCACTGGAGAGCATGCCATGCTGGGCGGATCAGAGGTGACCAGGCAGTTGGAAGTGGACTCGTGCACTGTGAGCCCTCAGAACCTCAGGAGGGGAGGAAGCAAAAATGCCCTTCTTGAAAAGCAGACTAGCTTGAGTGAGCTGAGGCCTGGGGGAGGCACAGGGCCCGAAGAGGTTCTCCTAAACACCCACCTGGACCCTCTGGCTTGTTCTCTTTTCACTATGCAGGTGACTTGAAGTCAGTTCAGCCAGATTGCATGCCTCCTGACCCTCAGTTGCTTCCACGTGCAGGCCAGGGGGTACGGGGTAGGCTGCTGGAGCGTGGAGCTGAGCATGAGGCTGTGGAAGTGGGCAAGGGCGGTACCTGGGACACCTGCTTGGAGGGTGGAGACGTTGCTCTGCAGAGTTGCACCGATTCGCATCCTCCTGCCT